CACAATCAATGTAAAAGTCCCCCCCTCAGAAGAGATCATCATCAAAAATACCCTTACCCCAACCCAATACCCCGCTCCTAACATCCCACCACCCACCTTTCCCCAATTCCCCAAAGAAATGAACAAAGAGATTGGGAAATTTTCAAAAATCAACGGCAAATGCAGATGTCGGCACAGCACCGCCACCCCCCCAGGCCAAAGTGATCGCCCAGTGGATGAGAGAGAGAGAGAGAGCGAGAGTGAGTGAAAGAGTTTCTGGTTCAGTTCAGAGGTAAGTGGGTAAAAACATGATCATGACTCATTCGCAGTATAAACTAGCATTTGGATTGGACTCTATCTGCTCTGGGCAGCATTGTTGGAGATTTCTCTAGAGGTTGCTCGAAGAAGAAAAAAAAGAGACGGCTATCGAATGGTGAACGTGTCTTCCATCACCTTTGTCGCGCACCTCACCTCACTCTAGCAAACAAAGCGTTTCTGTTTCGTATACCCCGCCAGAGGGTATGATGATTTAGACAAGATGTTTGGAACGGCAGACTCTAATTTGAAACCGACAATTAAAAAATTGGGAGAACAAATATTTAGTATCTTGAGTAGATAATCCAATCAAGTTGCCATAGCTGACATGGAAAAGATGGATGCAAAGGGTATCTGAAAGGCCTCGGCCCCAAGCCTTCTTCTCTAGTTTTTTTCCACTATTTCTGTATAATCGGTGTCGCAAAAGAAAACTGGATTTACAGACAGATACGGCACGAAACAGAGTTGGCAATGGGCTGCCGTTTACCGCTTGGTTACGTTTTAAGTACACGAATACATACATACATATATATGTGCATATGCATATGTTTGTATGTATACATATGCGCGATCAAACAGTCATATACATACGTTTGTACGTATGTGTGTACAAATATCCCCCTTTGTTAAATTGAGTTTATGCTGAGACCCACAGTCTTTTATGTTTTTGTTTTTAAATGATATGAGACCACCCTCGTACATACAAGCATACAAGCATAGCATGTATGTATATCGGTATGTATTCAAACTTAAAGCGAATCAAAAGCGTAAACAATTTGGTTTTTATTTTGTTTTCTGTTGCGCTACTCTTTTATTTTGATGGCGCGCTGCTTTAAGCTAATTGCGAACGATAAATGTGTGTGAGATAGTGTGTGCTTGTATGTATGTATTTGTTGAGTGGAAAGCAGCGCAACAGCACAAACTAAGGTTTATTAAAATTAAAGTGAGGTTTATCCTCTATTCACCAGCCAAACATCCTTTAAGGGAGCCGTTGGCACCTAAAAATTGCAAGAGAGCGAAATGTAGAATAGAATGCAAACTAAGCATGTAACCAGCACTGCCCCACCCTACTAGTTTATATACATTGCACAACAGTAACAACGACGACGACGCAAAAGTGTATCTTCCCTCTCGCTCGCACGTCCGCTTAGATTCGCGATTGTTGCTGGGAAAAAAGAAGCAAAACAAAAGCAAAAACTAAAAGCTGAAGACAAAAACAAGTAAGCGGGATTAAATCGGAGCTGCGACAGGGCGGATACCCTGTATACCATGACACAGACTTTGGCAGAGATCTGTTAAGAAAATATCAACCGGAGATGGTAACTAGGGGGCTGAAAAGAAACCGAGTAAGACATGTAATCCAATGCTATAGACATACTCTTCTATTCGGTATCTGCAGGGTATCAAAACGAGACGGGGAAAAACAAAAAGTGTGCGTGTGCGGGAACGTGGACAGGGCCGGGGATGGGGTCTGGTATATGTATGTTTTTTCTACGCAATTGGTATCTGTGAGATACATACATGCAAACACAGGCAGAGATACCACACGCGCTCACATATAAAATAAATACATATGTACATATGTACGAGTATACCCACCAAAGATGGATGTTCATATTTACAACTTTGTGCGTTGGTCTCCCTGACGACGACACAGGTCGAGTACGCAAATGCTAAACAAAATAAAAAACTTTAAAAATAAAATGGAATACGAAATTTGAATATGTATGAGGCGTCATATATGTACATATGTACTCGTTTACTTATATGTGTTGTATGCACACTCATGTTCAAAATAATAAGTACTCAGCTCAGCCACCACTTACATTTAAAATAAAATAAGTCAAAGAGCGAAGCTAATAGGGATTAAATCTGGGTGGAAAACCTACTGGAAAATAAAGAGAAACTAAATAATGGGTCGAAATTTCACAGCTCAGCGCTTAAGAGGAAAAGGGTTAGTTAGAAAGGTTCCTTTAAATTCGAGATGTGCACTAATTATTTGTACCATCAGTGTAATATCTATATATGTGTGTCTGTATATTTTGCACGAAAACATACATACATATGTACATATGTATGCATGTGGCGTTCGTGTCAACGGTTATTTTATTTTCGTTTTTATTTTTTTTCTTTCTATGGAATAATTTTATATTTGCTGCGCAATTTCTACTATTGATTCCCTGTTATTTGTTGTATGCTCCTCTTCGGTTGGCCCCCTATCACAGTCGCCTGTTTTGCGTTCGCATGTACATATGGAATGTATGTATGTATTCCCCAGATGTGATAGCGGTTCGCACCTTATCGCTTATAGTGGTTCTTTGTACATTTTAATTATTATGGCATGCGTTCACACAGCAATAGGCGCGATTGGGAATTGTTGTTTCCCTTTTTTTTTGATAAGCTAAAAACCCCAATTGAGCATATTTTGAACCCTTGTGAAAATACAACAATTTTTGCTGTGGTGAAACGAGTTTCCAAAAATAAAGGTGGATGATTCATGAATTGGAAATAACCATGCGGGTTATTTGGTATAAATTCAATGGACTTGTACAATAAAAAAAAACGGTTATACGATTTATATGGATTTGCGTTTGTGATTGGTGTGGCCCTTCCTTCTACGTGAGAGTCCAAATTTGAATACGATTTGTGTATTGTAGACTTGCACGTGTGTGCACATATGTACATATGTATGTGCATGCTCTCACGTACAGTAAAATCCTAGGTATACCAGTATGGTACTCAATTTTGATTTCACACCACGTGACTAATAACCTCAGCTTGCACGCTCCAAACACTATGGCAATCGCATTCATTGAATGAATTTCTCTTATCGGTCAAGCGACTGATAATGATGAGCCCCCATCGATGACCTTTTGGGCAGATAAGGCCCCTCCTATCATCAGTATTTAGTGGTGTGATCTATGCTGAGACTCCAGTCAAACATTTCCCAGTCTCCCGGCAAGATGTCGCTCTCTGTGGCTGTTGTGGCAGCCAGTATTTGGCTGATCGTGTGCACCTTCTCCTTGGTTCAGGCAGGACACCAAACTTTCTACCATTTGGATACAGACAATCTTATGTGACAATCTCTTGCAGGCGAATGTGCGGTTCCACTTTACGCTGGATTTCCATGTGAAGCAGCCGTCCAATGGCGGTGATGAGACCATCAACAAAACCATCCTTGTGGAGAACAATCAAATATCCGTGATAGACAACGACCCGACGACAGTGTCACCAATTGGCCAGTGGACAGATCAGGAGCAATACAATGAGGCTACTCTGCAGAAGGTGGTGGAGGCCAGGCGGGCGGTACAGCAGCTGAACGCAGAGTTGGCTCCCCTGGTGGGTCGCAGCAATGATCTGGCCATTCGGCTGAAGCAGAGCCTGCGCTACGTCAACGAAGTGGATGCCACACTTGAGGATCTCTCCAACTTTGGACAGCTTGTGGAGCTCCTGCGGAAGTTTGTCACCCTAGTGGATGCCCTAAAAGAGCCCACCAACTATGGGGGCGTTCGATCCCTTGAATATGTACTCCTCAAGCTGGCCCTGGAGAGGTACGAGTTGAATGGCAAGCGGCAGGAGATCAGCGAGTATTTACAGCGGGCGGAGAACGCCTGGACGAGCTATAAGAGCACGCAGGTGGTTCTATTGGAGAACTCGAACTCAACCTGAGATTTCATTTGGATATAGACTTACACACAAACACACACACATACACTAACACATACATACACGTAGACTTCATTGTAGATCGTAGTGCATAGGTTATAAGTGCAGGGACAGCAGAAGAGCAAACAAAGACCAGCATCAATTGGTAGATACAATCGCTGCACCAGCAGCAAGGGCGGCCGTCGGGACCCTTGAAATGAAAAATAAAAACCATCAAAGGGACTTCCTGCCTATTATTCGGTTCCACTAGAACGCTCAGGATTGATACAGGTATAGGGACCACCATACCATGATGCATGGCATCAACCCAGGACACAGGGGTTGACCTAAATCTCCCTCTCTCGGCTCGGCTCGGCTCGGCTTTCCCTGACTATGGGATCGAAAATACGTTACACACGCTGGGAATACGTTATTATGCGAGGCATATGCAGGTAGGCGGCGACACAGAGCTAAGGGAGCATTAAAATGAAACAACAGCTGCCAGAGCAGAGCCATGGCTAATGTGATGTGTGTGTGCGTGGAGGGAACGGGTCGGTCCCGATCGTAGTCTCGAAATTCCTGAAACTCGAAACAACCACGAAACACAATCGTCCATCATCCTTACTTCCATATGCAGCAGCAGTTGAGTGGGAAATGGAGTGGGGAGACTACTAAAAATACAATTATTAACAGCGTACATACATATGTGAAATGGTAGTATGTGGAGTTGAGGGCGGTTTAAGAGGGTATGGCACCGTACCACATAGGGAGTCGACTTTGGAACTCTCCCCTTGTAAAACGACACCGAAATCAGAAATTCTTTGACTTAAGGGGGAAGAAGCCTTAACGGTTTTCACAGTGATTTCTTTTATACAATAAAGGGTTGGCTGCAATCTGAAGTGGCAACTTATAAATATATAAATATGTATGTATGCACATATTTATGTGTAAGTTTTGCAGCGAGAAAAAACCATGAAGAAATCATCGGTGTACATAAAGGAAACCCGATTGGCATAAAAGAGACAAGGTATACAGGTTTAAGCTCTTTTTTTTAATATTTATTTATAAACCGAAACTGGTCGAACCGCTTTAGATGGCCGGCTATGCGATGGCTTATGTATCTTTTTGACAGTTTATGTTTTTGCTTAAATATTGCTGCATGTGACAAGCAACATAGTGCATGTATTAGTATTGGATTTGATCCAGGTAGGACGAATATGGGGACTGGAATTTTCCTATTTGCAATGGTTTTCAGTTGTCTCATTGGTATTTATATTCTCATTATTTCAGCTATGATACAGAATCCCTCCAACTGTCTTCAATTTCTTAATTATAAGCTCGAATCAAATTAGATAATAAATTTAAAATAAAGACACATTTTATGGATTTTTCCCTTTAACTACCGTTTAATTTGGCTTGAAATTGCGAAGTATTTTTAATACTTCTATCTGAAAGTCGAGCTTCTGATCGGCATTCATCCTTTGCATATGCGGCTTAATGCTATCAAAGAACGCCTGATCCGCATCCGTGTTGGCTGATGTTGGCGCAGAGGCATTTGTACAACTGGCGAAGTCTCCTGTGAACGGAGTGACTGCTGGCTTGGCGAGGCTGGCACCGCACTCGGGATGCGTTGAGTTATCTGCTGTGGTGCAGTTGAGATCGTCCAGCAAGGAATGCAGATTATTTGGCAATGAAGAGACGCTCGTGGCGGCCGTTTCCTCCTCTGAGCTTCGCCGCTTTTTGGGCGTTTTTTGTGCGCAAAGGCGCTTCCGTTTGGGCGTCGATTTGGTTTCCTCCTTTAGGGGCTCCTCTTCATCATCGGTCTCAGTCTTGACATCCAGCAGAAAGCTGAGCTCCTGCTCGTATATGTAGGATGCCCGCACCACCACATCTTTGCCGCTCTGTCGCATCCGGTACACACGCAAATAGCTGTCGCGCGTGTTCTTCCAACGCTTCATTAAGGTTTTTGCTGCAATTATTGAAAAGATTAACCAGCTGCAGTGGTTCCTTGCGGGGTCTTCTTACCAATTTCGTTCTTTTCGGCATCACTGGCTGCAGCAAAGTTCTTGCAAAGTTCTTGGCCAATTTGCTGCCAGGCCTGGTCCCTTAGCTCCCGATTATGGAAGTTTGCGTGTCTGCGCTCCCAGATAATCGTCCGCTTGTGCACGGCCTCAATAAACTCGTACATGGAGTACCGCAAATTTGATCCAGCGGTCCTAAGTACCTTGTGATTTCCCATTTTTGTTTATTTGTATAATTTATCAACAATTAAACAACTTAACAGCGCAACAAAAAAACACTGCGCATTACAGCACGCTGTTATGCCGGCGCACGCACTGTTGGCCACTTTACAGAAAATTGTTATGGCCGTTGGATTTAACAGAGACTGTGCTGTCACCCAGCTCTAGGCCGAAAATACCAAGCATTTCAAAAAAATACCGACTGCGATATTTAAGTTAATGTTAAATGTCCATGTTATTTCTATGTTAAAGATGGCGCGAAACTTAAATATGTGTGTAAATAATAACTTGTGGTAATAAAGAAAAATAAATCAGGAGAAATGACAGGTCCTTGAAATAATCCAATTTAAACACCATGTTGATGACCCTGCAGTTTAATTCTAGGTCTCACGCTCAACGTATTTGATAGTAGTGGGTGGCATGTGAACACTCCGCCAGATCTATTTTAAATTTGCACCAGAATATACAATTTCCGATAAAACTCAGAATCCACTCACAGAATGTTGCGCGTGTTCAAATCCCGTTACGCGGCACACAGTGACACAGTGGGAAAAACGGTCAATATAGCTGGTAAAAACCTACAGTCGCCCTGTACTTTCGAAGTTGCCCGTTTTGCCCATTGTGCCGCTCCCAGATCGAACTGGCGACGAAATGAAAATTGCGCAATCCTTTTTGTGATGCTACGTCTTCGGAGCGACGGTCTGTGGCATGGCATGAAAGAATTGAACAAGAAAGGAAAATGGCAGAAACAACGGCACTCCAAGGCACTATTTTTCAAACTCAAATTGAATCATGAAGAAGTTGTAGAAAATTTAGCGGAATAATTTCAACATAACACTTAAAACTTTCGCAGAATGGAGATTGAAGTGACCTGAGACGGCAGCGTCGTTTAGTACACAGTGCCATTCGAGACGGATGAGAAGGCACTGGTCTTTGCCCTTAACTTTGCCGTTGGACTCAAGTCGAGGACCCAACAACACGCCGCCAAGGTTGACATGAAGTCTGTCAGCAGCGTCCCACCCAAACCCCCAGCAGCGATGGTGGAACTCTCCACCCCGGCAGCCGCCACAAAACCGAACTAGCAAAACTGACCAAACAAATCGGTGAAAAGATGCTTCCTGTACAGCTTTACGTGAGATCTATTCAATCACATAATCAAGGATTTTTAAATTTGTACTAATCCGCCCAACCTCACAAATTAAACGCTGCTTTGGCTGTTGGCTTTAACAGGGACCGGGACCAACCCTGTTCCAATAAAACAAATTGTTTATGTTTTGAAAATGTTTTTAGTTTGTTTTTATTATTAAACATATACAGAGAGGTCAGTTGATTAATTTTGCTGTTGAGGGGCGTGCAACGCGAAAAGCCTGCATATGTGAATGCGAACTATGACCGAGTAATACGTGTAGTGTACGTGTTAAATTAGGAGAGAAATGCAAGTGAGTGTGGGTGTGGATGATTAGTGTTTTGTGTAGTATATTTGTGTTCCTTGCTCGATTTACATGGGCCTGCCCATGCCGCGGCCCATACCGCCCGCCATGGGAGCCTCACCAGCCTTGGGGCTCTTTATTGTCTCGTCCACGGACAGGATCATGCAGGCGGCTTCGGCGGCAGCAGTCAACGCATTGATCTTGATAATCGACGGCTCCCACACGCACTGCTCAAAGTTGTCCGAGATGTCCTCCTTGGTAATATCCACGCCGTACCACTGCCCGCCTGGAAACAGAAGAAAAACAATTAAATTACATTTTTTGAATATACAGTAACATTCGAAACAGGGTTGGCAGCACCGACAATGCCCGCGCACACACGAATATGCAGCTGTGCGAAAGAGCACACACTATAGCACATGTGCGGCGAACGAAAGAGCTGGCAGAGGCAAGAAAAACACGCGCTGCTGGCAGAGACAGCATTCTGGAGATATATTTGAAAAAAAAGGTAATATTTCGGGAAAAAATGTCTACATCGGGACGCAAGCGCAAGCAGCAGCTGAAGCCGCGCCAGGACGATCACAGATCGCCGATAAAGCGCAGCAATGTGGACATTAAAAGGGAGCCGCTCGACAGCGACTACCCGGCGCTGGCCGACTACGACCTGAGCAGCGCCGACATCAAGCCCGATTTGACGGAGCTGCATCTGGAGATGGCGGCGTCGGCACGCGAACAGCCGCCAGCCCTCAGTGGACACGAGCTGGACAATCAGGAGAGTGACTCGGACGAGGACGGGTACTCTGAGATAAACTACGAGGCGGCCGATGTCTTTACCCAAGGTAAGCAGCAGTCTCCTATTCCCCTAACAACTCCACCCTTGACTTATGTAAGCTGTTGCCGTGCAGACGAAGTGGACGACTATGATCCGGAGTGGACAACGCAGCAGACGACGCGGCTGCTCTTCAAGTTCAACACTCCGCTGCAGCTGACGGGCCTGAAGGGCGGCAAGAACTACATGGGCCCCCAGCACTACTTCAATCAGATACTCGGCCATCGGGGCACGTTCTTCTTCTCGCTGGCCAAGAGCTGCAACACGCGTGCACCCAAGGGCTGCCCCCTGACCCAAGCCGAGGAAATGGAGGCATTTGTGGGCCTCTCCCTGCTCATGAGTGATGTGAAGTTGAACGAACTGTCCGACTACTGGAGCAACAATATGCACTTTGGCTTTGTTGGCTTCAAGGAGAAGATGTCCCTGGAACGCTATCGCCAGCTGATGCAGTGGCTCAACTTTGATGCCCTCGATGTGAAGGCGAAGAGCCAGGCAGATGATTACAATAAATTGCTGACCTTCATCAACGAACGCATGGCGGAGCTGTATGTGTGCGGCCAGCAGTTGGTGCTCAATGACCCAGTGACCCTATGGAAGGGTAGATTTAGCTACAATCAGGACTTGGCACACAAATTCCGTAGCAATGCTTTGCTGCTGCACATGCTCACGGAGCAGAGTGGCCTGGTCGTTAAAGTGATGCCGGAGATTGTGCAGCGTGAGCAGGCGTGCGCATGGGTGCGCAATTCGCGGCAGCTGGTGGAACACCGAAATAAGCTGGCACTGAAGCTGGTGGGGGAGCATCAGGAGGGACGCACTGTGTACGCGTCGAAGTTCTATGGCAGCTATGGCCTCGCCTTTGAGCTGTCCAATAGGAACACCTACTGCACTGGACTGCTCGACAGGAATAGGTATGGCAACAGCAAGGCGCTGGTGCATCAGCAGCTCACATCGAACAGCATTGTCATGTGGTATGCCACTCCCCCACTGATGATGGGCAAGTGGCGGCGTCGCGAAAAGAGTTTGTACTTCTTCAGCTCCGATTGTCTGGCCATCTATTCAAAGGAGATGTCCATGCAAAAGACAAATGCCCGCCCGAAGCTCATCCAGGAGATAGACCGGCAACTGCGACCGGCCAATCAAGTCAGACAGCAATTGATTGAGTATCAGCCGACCTGCCAGGGCCTGCAGTCGGACAAAAAACTGGCCATCTTTCTGCTCAACATGATTGTCTACAACTCGTATCTGCTGTACCAGAACAACACCCCACCGCCGCGAGGAGGAGATGTCACACTGAAGTATCGCAACTATGCCGAATTTCGTGTGGCAATCATTCGGTCGCTGCTTCGCCTGGAGACGGGTGGCACGGAGCCGCCTGCTGCCACTGCAACGAGCCCAAACAAAGCCGATATACCCGAGAAGAGCAAGAAGGCGGCGTCGATACCGGAGATTAAGTTAATCACGGCCATACGCCACGACCCGATCTTAATACGCCAGAATGGGAAGCCGGCACGCAAGAACTGTCGCTACTGCCACAAAGGTGGCATGCTGCAGTACAGCAAATACATGTGCAACTCTTGCCCGGACAAGCCAGGCCTGTGCCAGGATCCCTGCTTCCGCCTGTGGCACGAGCAGCTCAAAAAGTAGAACCATCCTCACCATTCATTGTATAAACAGAATTAATGATTAAATTGTTTAACCAGCCCCCTCCAAAAAATATTGTCTATTCATTGTATGTGCACTCACCCTGAGAGTGCTTCTGGCGCAGCTTGTTGAGAATGTTGGTGGCATCGAAACCGGCATTGTCGCACAATTGGCGTGGTATGATCTCCAGTCCCTTGGCAATGGCTGCAATCAGCAGCTGCTCCTTGCCAGCAATAGTGCGCGAGTAGTCGCGCAGCAGACGGGAGAGTTCCATTTCAATGGCACCACCGCCGGCCACAACCGAATCGTGTTTGATGGTGCGACGCACAATCATAATGGCATCGTGCAGCGAACGTTCAGTCTCCTCGAGGAACTGCTCGGCACCGCCGCGCAGGATCAGTGTGCTTGTCTTGGCATTGGGGCAACCTACAGAACACAGGGGAGCCATTTAGCAACAGAGCGGCATCAGTATTGAGAGCACGACTTACCCTGGAACAAATTGAAGCGCTCACCGCCCACCTGAACCTCTTTGAAGGTCTCGCACAAACCCAGAACCTCGGCCTTGATGTCATTGGCTGTGGTCATCACAGCACCGCCGCAGGCCTTCATTGTGCGCTTGAGATCCTCTTCGGGCACACGGCCAGCGCAGAAAATGTCACGATCTGCGAAATACTGTGTGGCCACATCGCCAATGGCCAGCTTGGACAGCACCACATTGGCACCGGACTCGACAATTTTGGCCAATTTGTTGTACAAAATCTGCCATTCGGCATCCACGATCTTCTGATACTCCCGCACATTGTCCACCCGAACCTCGGCATTGTCGCGCTCCGCCTTCAGCTCCAGCTCGATGTTCAGCAAGGCAATCTTGCAGGGCTCATACGACTTGGGTGCCATCTCGAAGCCGGCATAGGAGAAGGTCTTCTTGAAGGCCACACCAGAGACCAGTTGAGACTCCTCCAGCGAACCGCCGGTGACCTTCTTGATGCCAATCATATTAAGAGGCAGCAGCTCATCCAGCGAAAGCACAGCATCCACAACAATGCGGGCAAAGAAGTCCTTCTGCTGATGAATCAGCTTGGAAGACATGGCTGTGGCAGCGCACTTCTCCAGCAGACTACGCTGCTCCGCCTTCGATTGCTTCTCAATGTGTACGGCCATTTCGTTGATTTTGTCCATGCACAACTGCAGAGCCTTACGGATGGCCTTGATAATGATGCGTGGATGGACGCCCTCCTCCACAAACGGTTTCACCTGCTTGAGGAACTCACCGGCCAGCAGAACCACCGAAGTAGTACCATCACCCACCTACCAGAGAGGAAAAGTCAGTCGTCACGTGCTTAAATTTTCAAGAGCTTCATATAGAATTTTTACCTCGGCGTCTTGTGACTTGGCAATGTCCACCAGGGTCTTGGCGGCCGGATGGATAATCTCCAGCAGCTTCATGATGGTGGCGCCATCATTCGAAATGGTCGCCTTGCCCTGGGCATTGACAATCAGCTTGTCCATGCCACGGGGACCCAGAGTGGTCCGCACGGCATCCACAATCATCTGACAGGCATTGATGTTGGACACCAGCTGGGGCTTGCCCTGCGACGTGTCCGTGCCTTCCTTGAGCAGCACAATTTGCGGTTGCTGAAAACGGATTCCAAATCGAGCTCATTATTAGTCAGCGCCAGATGTCGGCTTTTGCCAGAAGCTTCTTTGAAGGTTATGTTTATATTCGCATGCTATCCCTCGGCAAATGCACTTTTCCACCTCCGAGGGCCCTCGGTTGGCTATTTACGGGATGACTTACCATATTTATGTGATGGTATTATCCCTTTTCAAGTTAATATTGCTTAAAACAATCAATTTCCTAGCAGACAGCGGCAAAACTGGGTTTTCACGTTTTTGGATGGACAGTGTGACCGCGTGGGATTTCTACCGTCTGAATCATCACAAAAATACCGAAATATACCTTCTCATTTTCAACATTTACCGTAAATATACCGAGGAAAATCATATTCTATAATTTTGATTTTCGATTTGATATTACATTATAACTTAAATCCTCACAACTGAACATATAGTTTTATTCGATTGATAAAGCCATTTTCTACAAGACCATTATTTTCCATTATTTGAGCCCGATACTATTACGATAGTATCGATTGTTTTTTTTCAAAACATTCAACGTTGATATTCCTCGAATTCGATATTCCGGTTAAAATTACTAGCTAGTTGGCCCTCTCAGCCTTAAACGAATAATTTTATCCGATAGATACATACATTTTTTACAAGACTGGCAAGTTTCAGAAGTCCTTTTTATTAGATCATTTACATATTAAGGTTCAAACAAAAACAACATAAAACGAATATGACGTCGTTTCTTGTGGCGCTGCCAGACACGTACAATTCGTAGTTTCGGGCTGCCGATTAAATTGAAATGGTCACACTTGCCCTGCATCGATAGTTGATGCATAGCTGCAATCGATATTTTGTGTGTGCTTGTGACGCACATGTTGACCGTTGAGCGGCGTTTTTGAAATTGCTTCTAACTTCAAATATAGATTTGTGATTTCTTTAGCTATTTATATAAATTTGGCGATCGTCCACACGGTGCACGCACGCCTGTCGCTTATTCCATTTTAGAATATGCGGCGCATCTTCAGTTTGTTCCGACCGCTCAACTTGAGTGAGTTTGTGTGCACCAGAGCAAATAGAGCCCATAAAAAAAGGCAAATTGAAAATGGAAATGGAAATAGAAGAAGATCTAAATCTAATTCGGTAATGTGGAATTGGAATTTTAGTTGCTCAAGGCTTCTGTTAACGACAAGACAACCCCAAACAAGAAATGTCAATGGATATTCAATCGAAACTCGCCAAGTGATTACGAAACGCTAGTCAGGACAGGACACTCTACACAGAAGAGAGATCTTCATCCACATGACAAATGTCAATTCAGAGTGAGTAAAGTTTATTGAAACTACACACTTATAAGACGATAAGGCATCAACCTAGTTCCAAGTTTGTTCCCCCCTTTTTGTTGCTGTTGACAGACTGGAATCCGAGTGTGTTCTAATTGTGTCCATCATTCATCGTGTCGTTATGGGGCATTGTCAAATTTACATAAATTGTATGTGTGATTTGTGAAGTTTCAGCTGTTGGGGGCCAGGCAGGAGAAGCCTGCATTTATAGATACATATTCCTCTATTCTTTTGGGTTATTAATACATATATGTATAAGTATTTGTACGTATGCGCGCCGCTGGTTTGTTTTTGTTATGAATATGAAGATTCAGCTTTCAATAAATTGCCTCTTCCGGCTTCCAACGGCTGCTTTTGTGTGCCGTGCCGCCTCCCCAGCTGCCCCTCCCACTACAGTTGGGTCAGAAGTTCTTTTGTGCACGCACAATCAGGCGAAAGCTTTGCCACCCCCCAACACACACGCGCGCACAAACTGCATCAATAAATGCCAAAGCTTTCTTTAATTAAATGGAAATGGAAACAAATATACATATGTGGGAAGCTTGCGAAAGCTTCGTCCGCCGATTCAGTCAAACGGTGTCCGGCCGAAACGAAAGATCTCTGGCTATATACGCCCAGCAAAAACGAAATTTTAATTAGAATAGAACGTTTCATTTTAATTTAAATTGATTGCAACTAATTTAACATAACGAACCACCCACACGCCTAAATAACTTAATTTTCGACACAATCCTCAACTTAAACTAAGTGTAACAACCAAGAGCTTCCTGTAAAAGCCAATTTCTGTGCAGAAGAAAACGAAAGGAAACATAAGAAATTTAATTGTAAATGAACTGCTCCACATACCAACGAAATTCGACTTATTCTGTGCGGCGCGGAAAAAAATTAACGTATTGACGTCATTGCGAAATTCGAGAAATTACACTGGAAGAAAGAATGCTAAACAAACAATTGCCGCAGTAGCAGAAGTAAATAAACTGTACGAGTATAGACCTATTACAAAACATAGTCTTCGGCCTCGTTGTGTGAGAGGAGTGTGGAGTGAGTGAAGCTGGTAAACAATAATTTTGGTTCATGTTAATTACGCCGAGGCAAATGCCAAACTTTGGTCTACGTTTGCGCAAGGATTTGAATGTTAATGGTGCGTATACGTGATCTTCATTGAATCAGCAAGGGGGCTGGCAGGCAAAGAACTATACATTTGTGGGGACAGCGGAGGCTGTACGTACGTACATGCGGTACGACTCATCCATCGTTTGGCAACATGTGTCATCAAATTGAAAAATGTCTGAAAATATACATACTTAAAGAGCAAAAACTTTCATCTTTCGTCTCTGGTCCGATGTCTCTCTAGTGGATCTGGTGTGGGCGCCCACCAGAAACCAAGGCAAGGCAAGGCGAAGCCCGTGTGATGTCACCATGGCGTGTGTCGACCCCAAAAACACTTTATTAACACGCTGGACATTGGGGCAACAATTTTTAATTTAATTAAATGCAACATCGGCGTTCCATATAGATCCATTTCCCCCCCACTAAAAAACTTAAACCACTTATCCAGAATTTATGGCGTTATGAATTGGTTTTGGAAAAACAAATCAAATTCCAATAAATCTCAGGAGAGTTGCCAACACACATTTTTCTATATATATATTGAATATATATATAGACTGATCGGTGGCCTTGATAAAGATGATCATCCATATGAACTGAGGGCGATCAGTCGGTCGGTCGTTCGTATCTCTGCTTTATAGTAATTGTATATATAGATGCTTTTGTTTTAATCTTTCGAACGGATGTTTGCACAATGCAAAGAATTTTTGCTCTAGTTGCTAATAGTAGGCTGGCTACTGCAGTGTGGCTGGTGTGTGTGTGTGTGTGTGCGGAGGGGGGCAAACTACCATGAAATATGTACATTTTTATTGCGTGTAAAGAGCTCTCTTGGGTTTCCTAAAAAACACATGTGTTTTTTTTGTTGGGCGCGCCACATGACGGCATTTGGGAGTAGTTTATTTAGTAAACCCCCCACCACACCCCCACACAAAAACAATTCACATCATAAGCTAGTTCTCCCGAACCATTACAATGGATACTCTCGTATTTCATTTTCATTTCATTTCATTCATGTGTGGACTGATGGCCTCTCCCAGAAAACTGAAAGAAAAAGCCCTGCTGCCATGGAAATCAATAAAGGGGGGCGCGAAAACTTGTTGATTAGTTGCATGCCACACAAAAAACAAAGGGAATGAGGCAAACGAAGAAAGAAAAGAGCTTAGAAGTTAGTGGCTAAATAGAAGCCAAAGAAAGGCAAAAAAAAAAATGACACAGCAAGAATATTGCACCCCAGCGAACCGAAGCCTTTACGGAACCCTTTCTAATGGTTGTGTTATTCTGTTTCTATTTCCAGATAAACCCTGAATGAGATTCAGGCGAATCTATCAATGACCAGGTGAAGTAAATATAGCAAAGACTTTCGGCAGGGTCGGACCACACACCGCATATGCAGCACTTATAGAAAAAAAAATAATAATTTAAAACAAAACAAAACAAAAAAAACAAACGACGGCTACATTTTTGTATACGAAAGATACATCAAAAATGGCTGAAAATCAAACAAAAACGACCTCTAGCAAAGGATTCAATGAGAAGAGATTGAACGCACCACAGATCCTCAAGCCCCACAATGCTGGGGCTGCAGGTGGCGTGCGTAGCAGAACAGACCCCCAAGGCAGGGCCCAAGCGAGCTTCCAGGAAGACTGGCAGACGCTGGTCGTCGGCAAAAATAAATTGAAACGCAAAAAGAAGCTGAGCACATCCCTGACGTCCGTTGGGGATACAGTCAATCAGGAGAAACGCACCCGCATCGAGGGTATCCATTTGCAGTGTCGCGGCAAATTGCGCGCCAGGGATACAAACACTTTTGAGGATGCCTCAAAAGTACAAAATGCAGCTACCAAGAGCTGCGCCAAGGTGGAGCGTCCACCGGTGATCATTGGGGGCGTAACCACAACCAATGTGCAGACGGCACCGCCGCAGCGTATAAAGCGCAAGCTGCAGGAGAATCTGGATACCATACAGAAGCTGAATGCACTCACCGAGCAGCTACGCTTGGAGGTGAACGAGCTAAAGTCCAGCCTGATCACCGAACGCGGTGCGGTGCGTGCCCTAAGGTTAGTTGTCGATAATTATCGATGCTTTATCGATCGATTAACGATCCTCCTTTTTTTGTTTAGGGCCCAAAACGATGCCGATAGCCGCAAATGGAAGAACGATGTTAAGAAACTTCAGCATACGCTGGACGTAACAAAAAAGTGTACTGGTTCAAAGAAACCCAACGAATTGGCCACCATCGAGGCCACCAATGCCAGCAGCACCGGCACCAGCACTAGCACACACGTGACGACGGCCGATGGCCTCATCAACTATGAAATTCAAAGACTGACAAACGAAATTGCCGTGCTAAAAGAAGCAAACAAAATGAAGGAGGAAAAGTCCCAGGTAAGTGGCCAAATCACACAGATCACCCAAATCTGTCGCCCCATGTTCTTGTTGCATGCATCGTTGTTGCTGTTGTTGTTGTTGTTGCTTCTCCTCTGCTGCTAGTGCTGCTACTGCTGCCGCCGCTTGGTTATGGCCCAGTTGTAGTTGTGGGTTAACAGCTCCCAGATGAATGCCGCACACGCCAGCCCCATGCCGATGAACCACAGCGAGAATACGGCGTGAAAGTGCTCTAGTTTAAGCACGACCGGATCATCGTTGCTGTTGTGCCGGCGATGCACTACCTTGGCACCCGACTGAATGAACGCCGTGTTCATAATGCGATCCCAATAACGCTCGAAGCCGAACTCATGCGAGCTACGGATGAGGCTGTTCAGGAAGCCCAAATACGGCGATCCATAGGGCACTATGTAGACGGCATGGAAGGGCACCAAGCAGCTGTCCATCAGGTGGAACACGGGCCGACCCAGCACCATATGCTGGCGATTGTTCACCTGAAAGCGGGCAATATGAAACTTCTCCAGATACGCAAACCGCTTATCGTTGTGCTCTATGTGTGTGTTGAGCATTCCGTCCGTCACCTGCATCATCTGCTGCCGTATCTTGGCCTCATGCTGGTGGCCCAAAGTCAGAAAGTGTTCAATGTGCTTAATGTGTCGCGGTCGTATCATAATGGGATAGGGGGACTCCGCCAAGGCACCCAGATCATCAATGTCTGGCAGCGAGGGCTGAAAGACCATCATGCTGGTGAGATTTCCCTTGAAGGCGCTGCAGATGAGCATGCCAAAGTACAGCCAAAAGATGAGGAATTGCCGCAGCGAGTGGCTCCGTGGAATATTCGTCAGTGGCATGGTCAGAGCACCAGCAAACAGCTGCATGGGCACTCCAGCAACACCGCCATTTGGCTGTCGATGAACCAAATAGCAAAACACATTCGCCAGCAGCACAGAGCTCAGGATGAGGGCCCACACCCAGCAGCTGAACGAACGGAAAATGTTCCAAAAGATGGGCGCAGTCTTTGCCTTTGGCACAATCACACACAGATCGTCCCGGGTGTGGGCCACGGTATTCTCCGCCAGCCTCTGGAACGTGTCGGGTGCAAGGAATCGTATATTCATGGCCATATCGACATACTCGTTGGCCACCTCCAGGAAGCAAATGTCCGAGCTGAGATTATAGTTGTAGGAAAAGGGACGCGTCACCATCATTGTGGCATTCAAGCGTTCGGCCACATAGGTGGCCATCAGGCCATCCGTTCCGACAATCATGCCTTTCGATCGGAATATGGCCCTAACATCGTCCTTGTAGATGCACACCCGCAGCGGCTTGCGCTGCATATTCGGTATGGTCTTGGGAAAGAGTTCACCGACAGTCGGCAGGCGATTCGTCTCATGGGATACGGTGATCAAATAGTTGTCCGTAAAGGGATTATAGCGATAGGCATGCAAGCGATCGTTGCGCCAGTAAACGATGACGATATTGAGCAGCCAAATCTTCCAGAACTGTCGAAAGCTGGCCCTCATCCAGGCATCCGACACTGTGTCCGCATCCCGTACCAGCAGAAAGACATGCGACAGATGCTTCGCTGCCGACTTCTTACGAATGAGCGACAGTTCCAGAGGCTGTGAGATGTTCGTGATGATCATTACCATGTACATCAGTATTCCATCATCCTTGACGGCCTCCAGCGGATGCAATTGGTTCCTGTCAACACGAGACATGAGCTGCGATTGCACTTTGGACTACACTATGTATATTGAGGCCTACCTCAATGATATGTAGGATATATCACACTTGGTTACCTCCCGCAGTATCTGTCCGGTGTGCTGATGCGATGTCTCGTTCTCAAAGTACACAAACAGCACCTTAATGCGGGCCCTGCACAAGATTTTGCTCACCTCCAGCATTAAATTCGAGTTCATCTTGAGGTTCAACGGTATTCGAGTCTCACTAGTGCCGTCAACCGAATGGCATAGCCATGCAACGAGCAGGAGGTGCTTCAGCCACTGGACATTGGACATTGCAATGCAAACTGTTGGCTGGGACACGATGGCACCTTTGTTTTTATAGACCACACCAATTTCAATATGGCAATTTCGTTAATGCGCTGTCTCTATCAGCGGTAGGGACGTTAAGCAAATATTGTTTTGAGTGGCGTAGTATCCTGTGTTTTACGGGATACCCTGTGCCAAAGTTGGAAGGTTTAAAATGGATGTCCATGTGGGTTTTAGAGGAGTATCTATAGAAGGTAGAGTGTCACCTATAAGGCTATCAAGTTCTAATTCGTCTTAGCTATACTTTACGTACTATTAAACCCTGTTTAAAGATTTCGAAATATTTTTGTCGCGGCGCACATGCCTACAGTTTCTATTTTCTTATGAATTCAGAAAGATTTGTGAAGAAATAAAACCAGAATTCGTTGAAAATGATACTCACGCATCTTACAGCAGCGCCCATCGGTTGTTTTACCTTTAGCATATCCAAAGGGCCTCATAGTAAATCCCATATTTCTTGCTTCGCCTGCAAGGGTATTTAAAGCTTCGCGTATACCCTAGATAACATCTTTTTCCAGTTATTTCCGATGTGTATACGTGTATATGTGTGTTTCTGTGTCTCGTTTGGTTAATGGATGCCGCGCAACCTAATCGCAAAGTGTAAACTAACAGCATGGATTGGCTTGCTTTTTAATCCCCGTCCCCCCTGCCGTGTGGTGGGGTGGGGGTGGGGGTGTTGCTCCATTGATTAGTGGAACGCTCATATGTATGATATGACAATTTCTTGCAGATTATTGGGCAGGCTGATAGACTCAAGGCTGCCGATATGCGGCAATTGAAGAATGCATATGAAAACCGATTGACTCAGATACAAAAATCAGCCAAAATTGAAATAACACGTTTGGTAAGTTGTGCGTACACACACTCCACGCCAAAGAGTAGACACAACCACAAAACATACGAGAGAAGCGGTTCAGGCAACTTTTCATATTTCACATTGGAACTTTATATACATATCTACATACATATTTACGTACATATATCTAAATTTAAATTTATTTTACTTGCAGCTAGAGGAAATCAAAACCAAAGAACGTAATATAGGACAACTGAAAAAGGATTTGTTGACATTGCAGGGCCCACAGGGCCCTATAAAAAAAAGGACCTCAAATGAAGCCAAAATGTCAACGACGATGAAACACAAAACGAACGAAACGAGCCAAAAGCCAAAGAAACCAACAACGATCACAACTACAGCAACAACATTAACAACTTCAACAATATCTAAAGCAACAAAAGCTAAAAACGAACCAGATACAGATACAAATCCCATACACCAGGCTCAAGTTACACCTGAGGTAAGTCTGTCTGACTGTATCTTGTGGGGGGCGCGGGATTGTATTGGGGTTGGAGTGGGACTCTGATTCGGATTCGGGTTCGGGTTCGTATTCGGTGGGGGGCTGTGCGGCAGCACTTGAACTTGTGCCGCCAGCATTTTCGAGACTTGGGTTAAATGTTAAGAGCTCTCTTGCAGATACGTATCTCTGCAGCTACAGATGTACATAGCTGTATATATTTTGTACATGCAAATACCCTTCTTTGGGGGTACTATGATATTTGTGGAAAGATCGTAAAATATGTGTTGTATATTATGGAAGGGGAGAATCTACTCTCTGTGTATGCATAGTTATATTTTCTGTGTAGAAATATCTCTTGTAGGAATCGGCAGGATCGAGGCACTACGCATATAGCTTTCACTTAAACAACCGAGAGAACAATTACTCATAAGGAACTCATAGATAATCGATAAAATTTCTCTACTTTTATAACAATCGATAATTATCTATTACTAAAATATAATCAGGCCTGCAATAATCAATTCTTAAGTGTATCTAAATCTTCGGTCTGTGCCTGCAGTCTCTCCTTCTGGTTACCTGTTTTGCTGGCGTTTCTCCAGCTCCGTCTGAACGAGTATCTCTGTATCTGTCTCGGGATCTGCATCTGTATCTCTCCTGTCCTGTCGTCGTCTGCTGCGGTTATGCACTATTGGCATGATCTATGATATAATTTTGCGTTAGTTATGAGAATGGCAAAGACAACAATCGCTTCGGCAGAAAGGAGACAGAGCAACAGACACAGCAGCAGCAGCAGCAACAGCAGCAGCAGCAGCAGCAGACAGCAGCAAAAAACCTGCTCTGCTGAAACGTGAGCAACTGCAGCAGAAATTGCAGCCGCGCACCAGCACCAGCAGCAGCGCAAGTGTTGCAAGTGGATCGCAGGCAATGCAGACACCAAAACGGACAAAAAACAGACATAGAGAGAGGAGATAGAGAGAGAGAGCACACAGGCCTAAGCAAGCCGGTTTTTGGTTTTATTTTTTTGCACGTCGTCACACTCGCACTCACACTCACTTTCTCTCACCTTATGGGGAGAGTGAGAAGAGAGCGCGCAGACGCAGCCAGCCGTTTGTCGCAGTCGAAGCCTGTGCAAAGGGTGTAGCGTAACAAGGTGAGGCGTAGCAGTGGAATGCTCACACAACCTGCGCTCTCCACTCTTCAAGCCCAGACAGCATCAGCGTTCCAGGCAGCGCATGTGCAAAGAGATAGAGAGTAGTGGCCTCACCTTCTGTTAAACCCACCCTGGCCTCTACCGCAGTGCGAGGCTTAGCTCTGCTCTGAGGTTCGGGCTCGCATGAATGGCCCAACAGATAGCGTCGTCCATCGATAGCCAGCCCCGGTACCGTCAGTTGATTTTCAGAGTACGCAGGCGTCGCAGGTGCGCAACGGTGCCCCATCCAATTCGTAGTATCACAATTCCACTTACAATTTGCGGCAAAGTCGGTGTCAAGTGTATACTGGGAAAAAGAAAGAAACAAAAAAGTGAATTACATTAACAAATCAAATGAAAAGAAATACTCGTACTCGCACTCGCACTCGGGACGGGCCAGGAGTGCACGCAGAGTTCAACGAGTGCCAGCATAATTAGGTGAAATTTGCTGTTAATTTGACGGAGGCACCTTTTGAAGAGCCGCTAATGAAAAGTAAACCAAAAGCATCAAAGTGCATTGTCTGTGTGTAACTATGCCAAAAATGAAGGAACCACAGACACAATAAAAAAAAATCAAAATACTAAAGAAAAGAAAAATACTTTTGTACAATAGTACCAACAAAAAAAAAAAAAAAACCACAACAAACAATCGGTTTCAGTTGTTGTTACTGCCATTTGGAATCGAATGGGGCAACAACAATCATCAGAAAAAAAAAAACTTATTTTACAGCCTAGCCGCCTGTCTTGTGTGTTGTCTTGTCTTTCTCTTTTGTATTGTTTAACGCACACACGAACCCATAATTTCACCGAATTTGCACTAAAAAGATTAGTGAAATATGCCAAAAACAAAAAAAAAAAACAATCAAAATTAATTGCCTTTCACACGGTCCCGACCGTCCACCCCTTTGCCATTTCCCCGAAAAGTTTCCGTTGGGCTGCCTTCGCTGCTGCATCGTTCCGTTCCAGTGATCGAATTCAATTTTACAGTTCATTAATCGCCGCCTGTACCGTAATTGTTTCCATCGGATTGGCCCAAAAGTAATCGAGAATCTATTATGGCAACATATTTGCCTCCATCCAGCCCCCATCTGCCATCTTGAGGGATCATCCAGCCATGACTTTTGATGTTTTGTTTTGGCTTTGCCTTTCCGCAGACAGATCACAGATCACAGTCTTTAATCCATGCTCAGATGTCAGCCCATGTGCAAGTTTTCTTTAGTTTTCTAAAACTAGCCATAATTTGCATACAGCAAAAGTGCAGCAGCAGCAGCAGAAGCAGCGGCAGCGGCAGCAATCGGGAAAACGATGTCATCTTGGCAACAAGAAACAGACGGGGTGGCATCAATAAATATACACACACACAGAAGAGAGTCTTTAAGGAAAGTGTGTGCTGAGTGGTGGAGTGGCTGGTGGCTCTGGGGAGTGCTATGCTGTGGTGTGCACACCACCAATTGGGGTCAGTGAAAAGCTTTTAAAATGTTAACGCTATTTTAAATACGATATGTGTCTATGTTGGCTGCAAAAATTTAGTCATCCTCCTCTTCCCCATCGCATCCATCGCCATGTCCAAACGACAGTAAAAGCGAAGCGACCAAAAAGATGATGATGATGATGATGTTGCTAAAACAAGACATACTCGTAGACGCCGGACGTTTCCAATATGCAAAGTAATCACAACGGCAAAGCACCACAAAAATAAAAAAAATCAAAGAAAAAAAGACAGACCCCACCAACAACTCATGAAAGGAAACAAAAAAGGGGTGTGTGTGAAATTTGTGGAAATGTGAACCATATGCAAATTGTATATCGTGTATATGTGTCTATAAATTTTGATGTGTTTTTTTTAGTGAAATTACCACGGTGAAAACTACTTTAAAACTTGACAAACTGTTTAGTTAATTGTTTTTGGTTTCTTCGCCTGAGAGAATCTACATAATGCATAAATATCTGTACACCTGACACAATGGATTACTACTACAACCGCCGAGATGTCAAGGTATGAACGACCAGCCCCTTGGACAAGGGTCTAAGGCAAAGTCGAAACAATGTTTCTTTTTTTTTTTATGATAGTTTAAACAATTTTTATTCCGAGAATTTCACAAGCAATTCCACAATTATTGCTCATACAGCGTGTTGTACATACGGAATGAGCTTTGAATTGAATGGAAAGTGATGGGGAAACATGATTAATGGCTATGGATTATAGAAATTATTTTGGGGGAAGAATCTGCGCAGAGAGTTTGATAATTTCTATGGCCTTACAGTTCTGTAACGCACATTAAATGAAATGTTGGCGAAATTTTCTATAGGCAACAACAACAACAATAAAATACGGATGAATAATCGTCTGTCTGTCTTTTGTGGTATCGCAGATCGAAAGGGAAAGGCCTCGGACGACTATCTTCCATGGTTGGGTTGCCTGCCCAAAGATTAATCCTCGGGGTTCGTTGTGCGATATCGATACAAATTAATGAGCATATGGTTTTTGGAGGGGAAAAACCCCCACATGTCAACAGAGTCCATTCAAATCCATTCATTAGTTCAATTATCGTATCCCCCCGAACGCTGTAGAGTGTAACGCTTGGCTGCAGAACCCGCCCGAAGACCACCCCGGGGGATTGCGCCACTCGGGGTGGGGCTGCCTACAGAGCAGAGCAGAGCAGGAGGAGCAGCAGCAGCAGCAAACTCTTGGGAAGTAGTGTCTTTCGATATATATACACAATATAATTCATTAGCGGCATATAAACTTTCGCTTTCGCAAGATCAAATCAAAGGCAATGTCTTTTGTGCAGACTGAAAAACCTGAATTACAATGCCAAATGCAAATACGAGGAAATTTTCTGTATATATGTATGTCTGTACATAAAGCATCGCGTCTCGATGCCTTTTGATGGCTGCTGGCTGCTGGCTGGGGCTGGTACGCGGGCCTACAGATTTTGTACTGTCGCTTGACACGTAATCGTGCACCGGACCAGGGAGTCGAACCCGGAACGTTGACGTCGCGACGTCGCGACGTTTGCTGCCTAAAAACTGCAGTCGCTCTGTGAGTTGCAGTCGCAGTCCGCAGTCACTGGAGATCGAAGTGAAACCTGTCCGTACCGAAAGGAAAATCATTTCACACAATCACAATCACTTGGCCCGCGGCTTGTGCAAACAGTCAGACAGACAGACAGAAAGACAGACATACAAACCCGACGGCAAAACATAAACACATAAACCTTATGCATACATTTGAGATGCATGTTTGTATACATACATACATACATATCTGGTTGTATATGGCTCAGCAGGTTGAGAGTTTGTCGACAGATTTACAAACAATCCATCCATCCATCCAGCCAGCCAGCCAGCCCGCGTTTGAAATCTACCTGGTGGCGCATCTTCTCCGCCGTCTCGCAACGTCTGCCTGGCGCTGCATTTAGCGCAATCTGAATATGCGAGTTGTGCGGAATTGTACCATCAATGGAGCCATCAAAATAATCCCCCATACCCAGCCACACACTCAGAAGTCAATGGGGGAGTGGAGCTAAAACTGATTGTTACAAAAAAAAATTGCTTAATCTGCCGAGCACGTTGATCAGGCAGTTCGTTAACATCAGTGTCCGTTACGTTACGCAAAAAAAAAAGTTCTTTTGGAATCGATTCAAGAAATTACCATAACTGTTAGCCAACAGTCGCCACGCAGAGTCGTCTCTCAGGCTATCTATCCTCTGGCACTCTCAGACATCAAACTGTTGATAATTTCCAATCAACCGGCGACGGCGACGACAACGACGACGATGGTGACGACGTGCAGGCATGCGACACCAACGCCAAACTCCATTTTCGGCCTCCTGTGCCCTGGGCCTCTGATTCAGTTCAGTATTCATATGTGCAGCTCCGGGGCTGTGTTGGGAAATTATACGATCGATCGCATACGATATACACATGTGTTTATATAATGGCGGTCATGAAAATAAGTCTGATAAGATTTAACAACTGAAAGGTTCTTAAGTTAATTCTCGCTCGCTTTGTGTAAAGTAATTAAATAGCATTAAAAAATCATAACAATTGGATAGAACACGCGTCATACAGCAGCGCCCCTCGGTCGTTTGGGAGTAACAACCTTTGGATTGGTGTCGTTTGGAACACTTGATGCTGAATTCTACTCAAATAATTTTACAGTAGACTAATCAAAAGAAGATAAGACCCTTTTCGTTGCTATTCTTTTGATCGCAACTGTAAGCTGGGGTTGTTGGGCACTTTTATGGGGAGTCAGGGACCCAGTGAGGCAGAGACTCGATTGGTCATTGCACCGCTTGGGTTGTGCTCTTTAAATATACTTAAATACATACATACATATGTATGTAGTTACCACTCATATATATATTTTGTTTTGGTTTGGGCTGAACCCTACCCTCGTTTCACAATTGATTAATGATTTCTCTACACATGTTCAATGAGCCGCTGCCCTGCTGCCCCACACACAGAAATTAGCATAATGCATGGCAGCATTATGCGTATAATAATAAGCAAAGCCACAGCAAAGAGCGGCCAAGCCGCACCATTATATTATATGGATGTTACATAAAAAATTGAAATTGACATGAAAGTAAGACATATAACAGGGCGTTGCTTGATTGGAAAGTGATTTAAAGTTATGTGTGGGGGGCATAAGGCAGGGGGAGTTTGAGTTTTGAGTGGCATTTAAGTGGGCTAATTAGCTGACAATCAGCTAAAGGGAAACGAGGCATCGTGACCATGAAAATTCGTGATGGAAGAAGACAAACACAAGCACAGATGCAATTGTTTTAAATGTTTAAATGTGCGTTGGAATTCGTGAGGGTTTTAGGAGGCACGACCAGGCAATCCTTGGGCCCAAAAACTTTTGATAACAATACAAGCCATAAAAATGACTCAAAACCTATTTGACTCTTTGATCTTTCCAAAAAGCAATGGGTGGGGGGAGGGGGGATGTCATTGAACCTGAAGCGAGCCTCTGGAACCCAGCGCTTATTGTTCGAAAAGTAACCGTGTGGCTGTCTGTCTATCAGTAACTTGTGATGAATTGGCTCTTTTTTTTTAGCAATGCTCTGCTTTTGTGTGGCAAGAAATCAAGTCATAACTGTTAACTGTTGGCCCCTCTCTAGACTCTTTACACCACACACACACACACATGTGTAGAGCCACAAAAGCGGGTTCTATGCCATGCCCCAAGCAACCAGAAAAGACATTCATTCGATTTGAAGACCGCAGCGTAGAAATGTACAACGCAGAGAGTTAAAGATATAAAAGACAGCAGAGAACAGAGCAGAACAAATTCTTTTGTTGTTAATTGCCATTCTGGGGCAGTGGCAGGGCAATGCAGGGAGAAAACTAATGAAGGGAATGAAACTAAGGCACGACATTTTCTCATTCGTTTTTCTTTTCTTTTTTCCACACACACACACAGATAACACAACTCAAGAACATTGAGCTAATCAACAATACGAAAAATGCGCATAAATCAACGCTCGAGATGCGCACAACATTGAAGAGCAACAACAGCCAGAAGGAGCTGCAGCAGCAGCAGATTGAAGATGGAGCCACCACATGGATGACAACGCTGCTAAATGGCCATGCCACAGCCAAGACAAAGGTGAGTCCATGGAGCAAACCCATTGAACCCACTTTTGATTTTATTTGTTTTCTTTCCTGACACTTAGGACAACAATTCGGACACGGATTCGGCACTCTCATCGGCACCGCCTTCGATTAGTCCACAGCCGCCTTCAAGTGGCTCCGACAGCGGTGTCATCTGGCAGACTGTAAGTGCAATGCCAAAACACACCCCTAGCAAACAGGTGCACTCAGGCACTCATTTCCACCCTCAACATTTTCTATGCTTGCAGCTGCAGGATCTGGACAAACTGCAGAAGGAAGCGGAAATGTATCACAAGGAGAACGAACGTCTGCAAGCCGAAGTGCAGCTGATGAAACAGGAGCTGGAGAGCGCCGAAAAGGCAGCCATCAGCCACACGCATATCAATGAGCTGATGCAGCGCATCAAGGAGCTTGAGGAGCAGCAAATGCACAACAGCGACGAGTCCAACGAGCTGCGCGAACAGAATGAACTTCTCGAGTTTCGCATACTCGAACTAGAGGATGATAGCGATAAGGTAACGCTACGAGTACCAGTTCCAGTACGAGTAGTTGAGCTGCAAACAGAAACGCTCAAAAGCCAGTTTTGTGCCACTCAACGAGCGTCTCTGAGCGTAGTTTTTCTTGGTTTTATGAATGAATTGTGTCAGAGTCAGAGTCAGAGAGCTAGAGCTTCGCTTCGTTTCGTTTCGTTTCGGATTGAATTGAGCGGATCAGCTTTTGGCCAGCTTTTTTGGTCTTCGTGTGGAACAATGGGCGCCAGTTTTGTTTTGGCAGCTGGCAGAGAGCGCGCGAGTGCGAGTGCGAGTGCGAGCGCGGAAATTGTTGTATTCGATTAACAATCAGCCCAAGACAAGCCAAGCCAAGCCAGCAATCCAATCTTTTCTCTGTTGTTTTTCCAAGCAATTTGAAAATTGTCTTAGTGGAGCAGCAGTGCAGTGGAGTCCAGTTAATGGCCAATCTCATTATTATTTTTGTATTATAAAATACGAGTATTCAGCCAATTGCTGGAGTATTTGCGGTTAAACTTTCCAATTGTTAGTGTGACTTAACCATTGATTGAATGAATGATTGACTACACACAGACAGACAGACAGTAAGACAGACTCTGACCAACTATGGTTTGGTCTTTGCTGCTCCATCGAGGGGTTACTTCATCCTAAGAGTTGTTTTAACCAAAAACAGTATCAAGTGTGCTTAAATATGTTTTGCTTATAAGGCGCCAGAGACGAGAGGCCCTAACCATCTACGATTTGCATTCAATTTTGTGTCTATTACTCATATATAGGGGCCGAAGCTAAGCCTTTGTGTGACCCACGCCTTAAACCCAAATGTACACAGTAAATGTTAGTTGTAAGGGTATGTTGGAGTTGCTTGGGTGAATGCTACAAAATATAACAGATATGGGAATAATTGTAAGCAGTAGAAAGATACATATATACAAATATTGGAATTCGTTGTATGTTATCTGAAAAGTTAATTACAAAGTTAGTAACAACTACTTGAAGGCTACCCTTAAGACACAAATTATAGCCACAATATTTTGCACTGCCTATGGTAAAATCTTTCACAATCATAAGTCTATAAATCCCCAACAAGCAGACGTAAAATTCTAGTGTTTAGTACAGAAAGTAATGAACAAATCAAAGGAAGAACCCTCCTAATAAGAAACATCCCTCCTCATTATTTAATAATTCTAATTTATAAGTATTAATTCATAATCATAATAATATTATAATAATAATTAATAATTATTAAATAATATTTTAATAATTTAATAATTATTAATTTTATGTATAACTAATTTATTTGTTATTTAGATTACACTAGTCAACACGATTTTTCCTCAAGGAACAAAACGAACTTTTTCTTAAAGATTTGGGGCTTAGAAATGGTTTGATGATATCCATTCCATTCCAAGATAGGGAGGGTATAGCACAGGTCGCATCTGCTTGCTGCGTTTCGTTGCTTTGGTTTTGATACCTTTTTGATTTTTAGAGCCGAACGCACCAAACAGTTTTCAGCTCTTCAGCTCTTCGGTCTTTCAGTTCGAAGCTAGCTGGGCTGCAAAGTCGTTCAGCTTGAAAATCAAATTCATTCGCTTAATTGCAACAACCGAAAAGTAATTATTTATAAAAGAAGCAAAGTGAAATTAGCAGAGGCAGAAGAGGAGCTGAGCGGAGCGGAGAGCAGAGCAGTGTGTGGTGCTGCAGTGCTTCGTGAAGCGAAGCTGTGCAAATAAACTGTTATAGAGAGAGATTAGACAAAATCTAATACGTGTGTATTCCCCTTTTGGCCATTCCACAGATGGACGGCAGCACCTGCGAGGGTCACTGTCAGCGTTTGCAGCATCTGCTGGAGGAATCCGCACAGCACTTGGCGGACAGGGACAAACGCTGCTTGCAACAGTTGCTGCAATGTGTCCAGCAATTGGATCTAGATGCCATGATGCCGTCAGCCGAACAGGTGTGTAGCAAGCTGGGGCCACTATGTCAGTTCACGAACTACCAAGTCCCAGCCAAGCCAAGCCCCAGGGATATGCCATATATTTATTTTACAAATTTATTAATACACACACTTGAACTCGATACACAAAAAAATAAGTTAAATTTTTCGGTATTCGGTTTCTCGACAGACCAAAGCAGATCAGCGTCTGCGGCACACACAGAGCCACCAGCGCATTGTGGCCACCGTTCAGCCGTATAGCAATTGCTGTGCCCCGCCCAGTGCACCGCCAACGCCCAGCAAGCGATCGTCGATCGTCGCCTGGCAGAGCAGCAGCCTCAGCGAAAGCGGCGTCTTCGTCGAGTGCGATCTGTCCACATCCACCGCAGTCTACCAGCATCCGCATTTGCAGTACTACCAGGAGCGACTGGACCAACTGGAGCGCAAGCTACTGGTCTACGAGAGTGCCGGCGAGACGCAGGCACAGCACTAGTCCCAGCGACTGCAGCGAGAGGTGCTGCTGGAGAAGGAGGCGCGAGAGCTGAGCGATCGAGTGCGACAGCTGGTGGAGGAGAACGCCCAGTTGGAGGAGGCCAAGTGTGAGTTCGAGGAGGCGGAGAACGACACGCGGTTGCATTTGCAGCGCAACGAGGTGGAACTGGAGATTACACGGCAGCGGAACGTGGAGCTAGAGTTCAGCAAGGACGCGTTGGGGGCCAAGTACAAGGACTGCCGCGCCGAGTGCCTGATACTGAGAGAGGATTTGGGTGCGGCGGAGACGCAATTGGAGCATCTGCACGAGGAGCGTCAGCGAACGAAGCGACAGTTGGAGGCACTGCGTCGATCTCTGCCACTGCTGTTGATCTGTCGCCTGTTGGCTCTGGCCAAAATGGGCAACGACATGTCCACCGATAGTCCCAGTGCCCGGCTCTACTCCGGACAGTCCGGACAGTCTGCTGATGCCGATGCCGAGCCCGAGAACACACTCAGCCAGGGCGAGAGTCCACGGCACAGCTGTGACGCGCGGGAGGTGAGCTTCCTGCGGGAAGAGGTCAAGGAGCTGCGCAGCCAGCTAAAGGATCTCGATGCACGCCACTACGAGGCCATGGAGTCGGCCGACTCGCACTGGGCCGAACAGGAGCAGGAGCACAAGGAGCGCGAGGAGGCGTTTCAGGCCAAGGAGGTGTCCCTCAAGCAGAAGATTGCCAAGCTGCAGGACTGCCTGCGCGAGGATTCGCGTGCGGCAGCGGAGAAGATCCAGCAGCTGGAGGAGACCGAACTGGGCCTGAAGACCTGCCTGGTGCGGCTGACCAAAGAGCATCGCGATCTGCTCGAGGACAATCGCGTGCTGCGCTCGCAAGTGGAGTGCCACAAGGCCCAGGAGCAGCTGGAGGCGGAGCAACAGATGGCCGTGGCCCTGGACACCGAGAAGCGACGCAGCCAGGCGCTGATCGATGACCTCAGTTTCGCCAAGAAGCTGCAGGCGAGCACCGAGGCCGAGCAGGAGGCCGAAGCGCTGCGCAGCCAAATGTACGATCTGCGCAAGAGCTTCATGCACATCGAGGTCACCAATGGGGAGCTCAAAGAGGAGGTGGGCACCCTGGAGAACAAGATCCGGCAGATGGAGTCGCAATTGAAGGAGTCCGAGGAGCGAGCCCGCTGCCTGGAGGATGAGCTGCGCACCAAGGATGAGCTGTGCCAGCGCATGGAGCGTGAAATTGGTGTCTTCCCGGAGGGCTTTAGTCTCGCCCACGAGCTCTACGACAGTCCGGCCAAGCGGGCCAAACGCGAGGAGATCAAGGATTTGCAGTCCGCAAGCCTGCAACTCGGCTGTGTCCTGCGCGACGTTGAGGTGGGTGAACAGCAGAGGAGTGCCACATGTGGATGAGACTGATAGTTTTTTCTTTTTCTCTTTTTTCTCTCTCTCTTTACAGCGGCAGAGCGAGGCAGATATTCCCACACACAAGGAGTTCCAGGTGATAGCATGCAGCGTGAAGCAGCTGGCGGACCAAATACTCGCTGCCAAGCGTCCGTCCGAGGTGAGTACCATGTATTCCAGCAACTCCAAAGAGACGCTCACTGCAGCGGATGAAGAAGCAGTGGCAGAAGGTGATGTGCGCGGTGTGGGTGGAGCAGCTGTGGGTCAATTGTCCAGCCCCAGGTCTGCCAAATCGCTGGCAGCACTACGCAGATATCGACGTTTGCATGCTGCTAAATCGAGCAAGACCAAGGATAGATTAGAGCAGATCAGCGAGGCTCTTGACAGTCCATTGCTTCCAGCTGGCACGGAGCTTCTCGGCGAGCCACCAGTGTCCATGGAGCTTCTCGGCGAGCCTCCTGTGTCCATGGAGACTCTCGGCGAGTTTCCTGCCGCCGTGGCGACTCTCGGCGAGTTTCCTGCCGCCGTGGCGACTCTCAGCGAGGTTCCAGCACTCAGCGCGGTTCCAGCACTCAACGTGGTTCCAGCACTCAACGAGGTTCCAGCACTCAACGAGGTTCCAGCACTCAACGAGGTTCCAGCACTCAGCGAGGTTCCAGCACTCAGCGAGGTTCCAGCACTTAACGAGGTTCCAGCACTCAGCGAGGTTCCAGCACTCAACGAGGTTCCAGCACTCAACGAGGTTCCAGCACTCAGCGAGGTTCCAGCACTCAACGAGGTTCCAGCACTCAACGAGGTTCCAGCACTTAACGAGGTTCCAGCACTCAGCGAGGTTCCAGCACTCAACGAGGTTCCAGCACTCAACGAGGTTCCAGCACTCAACGAGGTTCCTGGCCTAACCATGGAATCATTCTTCGAAGTCGCTGAGGACATGGAGCAGCCAGAGATGGAGCATGAGCAGCAACTCTTTTCGAGGCGACGCAAGCGGAACATGCTCAAACTGTTCACCTATAGCCGCATCTATCGCGGCCGAGTGCGCTACCGTGCGCTGCCGCGGAGTCTGTCGAGCAACAGCTTCTACTCGATGACTTCCCTTCACACCGTCCACTCGGATACATCGATGCTGTCCTTCCGTTCGCAGCATGCGAGTTTGGAGGCAGTGCCAACTGCCACAGCGTACCACGTGTCCATTGTCCAAACGGAGTCAATGCCCACCAGCGTCCAGGCGGTGCAGACCGAGCTCGAGACCTCAGAGTGTTACACTCAATGTGACCGTGTGGATGTGGAGCAGCGTCTGCTGCTGTTGCCGGAGCGGACGCGCCGTTTTGTGGAGATGCTGCAGTGCGAGGCGGAGGATGTGCCACGCTTCAGGGCCAGTCTGCTGCAATTGTGGGAGAGCAGCGAGTCCTTTCGCGAAAACATCGAACTGGTGCAGGATCTGTACTGGGCAGAGCTGCCGCCGCCCGTGGAAAGCTTGGAGGTATTTGCCAGTGCGATGGGAGCTGTGCGCGACTTGGCTGCCACCATGCAGCCGAAGTCTTCATTTACGCTGAAAAAGATCGAGCAGCGTTTCAACGAACGCGTGCTGCACTTGCACAGCGAGATGGCGAAGAAAACCGAGCCGGAAAATCCGGTCAAGGCGATGCAGCAAATGGGTCTGGTCTTCACACATGTTCCACGACCAAATCCATTATTCGAGCTATTGGGTATAGCTTGTAATCCGCCAATTCTTGCCAATATATGAATTTTGATTACAGAGCTGCTGTTTCGATTCGTTTGTCTATCGGTGCGGCTATCGATTCCATTCGTTTGTCATCGGTGCGGCTATCGTTGGGTGGGGTGGGGGTGGGGTGGCCTAGAGTTTACTTTCGTACAACTAACGAACAACAGCTTCGTTTCTGGTGCCACTTTTTACTGTACTAAATTCCAAATTTATTCCCACACTTGCTCGACATCATGAATAGCGACAGGGATCAGTTCTACGATTGCCAGAGCAGTGAAAACGAAGCAGAGGACTATGTGGTGGGCTATGCCTACGAGGTGGTTCATCAGCCATTCACTCGCTTTGCGGGTCCCATCGATAGGTGAGATGTCCTGGAGCGCGCCCTCAAGGCCACAGAGATTCTCTTCAAATTCTACTATGCTCGATGAATCGAATCGCTGAGGCTGCACCCTAACCCTAGCCGCTCTTTCTGCAATAAATAACCGACTGGCCAGTCATTTGTTGTTCCTTTCCGATCAGACCTGGCCTAGACTGTAGCTTCATGTGGGGCAGTGGGGCATAGCTTCGTTTTAGTTAATCTTTCCTCTGAGAGCAGGACACACACACACCCCACACACAGTTGATCATATTCCAAATTTTTCGCTTTGCTTTTCACTCCCTCACGATGCATAAGTGCACCACGAGCAAGTGGGCCTGTAAGGGTGCCAAGGAAACGGTGCCGGAATGCTTCTTCGACTGTAAGAGCGACACGGAGGGTGAGAATGATGCTGGGGCTGATGGCCAGGTGGTCAGCAATCGGCAGGATCCTGTCCAGCTGCGTGCCGTTTTGGAGCGTGCTCTGCACGCCACCCAGAAGCTGCTCAGTTGCTATGGTTCGTCCGTGGCACCCACCACTGTGCGTAGACTGCCGCCACGCGAGGTGCTGTACTATCCAGCCACGCTGGAGGTAAGAGCGACACGGAGTGTGCTGGGGTGTGCCGGGTCAGCAATCGGCAGGATCCTCCGCTGGCCGTTTTGGAGCGTGCTCTGCCCCCCCGGGCGGTGGCGTCCGTGGCACCCACCACTGTGCGTAGACTGCCGCCACGCGAGGTGCTGTACTATCCAGCCACGCTGGAGGTATCGGTGACCCTCAACACGGAGGAGACGTGCAGATGCCCCAAGCACTGCCAGTGCAGACTACGCGGCGGTCCGGTGAAACTCAAGCTGCCCATCGAGCTGAATCCCGAGAGCGGCCAAGTGAAGGTGAACGTCTTCCGGCCCACGCCTGGCATCAGTGATGGCCGTCAAGGTGGCGCTGGCGTGCCCGACGCTGCTGGCGACAGTTGCAAGTCCAAGAAGCGAAGGTCTTCCTCCTCCGTGCGCAAAGTGCGCTGGTCCAAGGAGGAGCCGCGAGCAGATGGCTAAGAAAGCAAAAGAAATCAAAATGTTGAACCTTTGTAGGAGAAAATTATGAAACGAATTGAATACATTTTTTCCACTGATCCATAGAGATTCTTCTTGTCTTTGAGCTTGAGAGTAGCTCCTGTTAGCGATAAATATATATTTTTATCCCTTTAACGACAAACAAAGCAATCGAGTGGGCTGGGAATTCCTTACAACCTGTCCCTGAGTTTCGTTTCGAGTCATTCTTTTAGTTTTCGTTGAGTAGGCAACACCCTAAACACAAATTTAAATTTTCATGTAAGTTTGGAATTTATTTGGATAAATCAGTTCGAACCGTTCCGGGGGGGAAAAGAAAAAAAAAAAAAAAAAAAAAAAAGAAAAGGGAGGGGGGGGGGGCCGACGGAGGCGAAAAGGGGGGGGGGGGGGGGGGGGGGGGGGGGGGGGGGGGGGGGGGGGGGGGGGGGGGGGGGGGGGCCAAAAAAAAAAAAAAAAAAAAAGGGGGGGGGGGGGGGGGGGGGGGGGGGGGGGGGGGGGGGGGGGGGGGGGGGGGGGGGGGGGGGGGGGGCGGGGGGGGGGGGGGACCCGCCACCAAAAAAAAAAAAAAAAAGAAAAAAGGGGGGAGAGGGGGGGGGCGGAAGGGGGCCGGCCGGGCGGCCACGAGAAAAAACCGGCGGGGGGGGGGGAGGAAGGAAGGGGGGGGGGGGGGGGGGGGGGGGGGGGGGGGGGGGGGGGCGGGGGGGGGGGGGGGGAGGGGCCGAGGGGGGGGGCCCCCCCCCCAAAAAAAAAAAAAAGGGGGGGGGGAAACAGCAGCAGCAGCAGCATCGACATCAGAGGCAGGCCTCCATTTGTGGTAGCAGATCCACCGGTCCGCAGAAATATCCCACAGGTAAATCCGCCGACGAAAAGTTCTTTGCTTGCGACTCCACTGCAGATCGAATGGTCAGCGAGAAGTACATGACCTGCGACTCGTGCGGCTCGTGTCAAACGGATAGCGAGGGCTTCTACGCCTACGATCCGGATCCCTCCTCCCTGGGCAGCTGTGGCGACACCACCTCTCGCGTGGTGACGCAATGTCGCTGCAAAACGCACACCTGCTGGTACGAGCAGGATTCGCGGGAGGTCATCTCGATAACAGCCATACCCTGTCCGAAACCCTGTGCCATGCCAGTGCCAGTGCCGGAACCGCTGCCACCTCCACCAGCACCAGAACCAGAGCCAGCAGCGCCTGTGGTTGTGCCGCCGCCGGTAGAACCATTCCCGCCCGTGCTGGAGGAGTACGAGACAGAGTCGGAGACGACTGAAACTGCAGTAATTTCAGAGACGGCATCTGTGGAGACCTTGACACCGGAAATAATGCCACCGGCACCGGCGCCCGCACCAAAGATTGAGGCGCCGCAGCCAGAGCCGGCGCCGGCAGTGCCCCAGGGAAAGCGCTACTATCTGGCACGGCCGCAGCACAAGGAGTTCTCCAATTGCTCGCCCTGCCGCTACGACCCCAGCCCCATTGTGGACGATGAGGGGAATGTGTTCTGTCCGGGCAACTGCGGCTGCTGCCAGTGCGCGTGGAAGCCGCGCAACTTCGAGGACAATGTGGAGCACACACAGGTGAAGGTGTGCCGCTGCATCACGCGCGGCACAATCTTCACCAGCTTCGCGGACAGGGAGACCTGCAGCACGACCTCATCGTTTGACTTGTGTCCGTGCCGCGAGAAGGCGGAGGCAAAGTTCCTCGAGCTGTACCACTGCGAGATGTGGTCAGAGCCGGAAATGATCCGAGGGCGGGAGGTGCAGCTGACGGAAATCAAGGAACTGCTCACACCCTATCCGCAGAGCAAACCCATCTCCAATAATGCGCAAAACGAAGAATAAAGTGTTCGCCAAACAATCCAAAGCCAAAGCAATCTAATCGGTCTCTTTTTTCTCTCTCTCCCCCGCCCGTTTCATCCGCAGATTACCCAGCTCTGACGTACTTGCAGGACGAATGCCGATGCCACAACAACAGCAACGCCCACTCCCGCCCCCAGGATATTCAGACCGACCAATCGTACCTACAAAAGCACCGACAGCAGTCACCAGTGAGCTGCCCATCAAGAGCAGGGGCAGCAGCCGACTGCAACAGGCCATCCCAAACGGAAACCTCGTATCTGCGCGACCACCAGAAGCCACAGTTCGAAGATGCCCTGGATAACGAGTCCGAGGGTACGCGCAGCAGCCAGAACTCGCAGACGGAACGATCCTACGTGAACGAAAGCTACAAACGCCAGCACGAGAAGCTCATGCAGGAGGCAACCTCACAGACCAATGTAATACCATGCGAGAGTCAGCAGGATAGGGAGGCAACAGTCTACTCGGCGGCAAGCAATCGGGGTCCACCACCATGTCCATGTCCATGCAGCTCGAAAGCCACAACAGCGGATTTCTATCGCACGCCCTGTGGCAGCAGCACAAGGAGCGCTGCTCACTCTTCGCGGCATACGTCCTGTGGCTGCAGTCTGCACAACTATTTGCCCAGATCAGAGATGGACAACCGGCCACCGTTTGCCAGTGATCCGCGGCCCATGACATTCCACGATTGCCTCTGTGGCGGCCAGCATCAGAGCAATTTGCCGCCCTGGGCCCCGAATCCGAATGCCCAGCATATAGCCCTCTCGAATGCGGATACCAACTGCAGCCTGCAGTGGGCAGCGAATAACGAGGAGGCACAGTCGTTCCAGAGCGCAGCCAACACCTGCTACACGCAGAATTCGAATGCACAGCACATTGCCATGCCGAATAACCAGGAGGATAACTCCTACCAGAGTGCAGCCAACACTTGCTACACGCAGAACTCATCCAAGGTCACGACATTTGCATCCCAAGGGCAGCATCCTTGCTCCAGTGCAACCAGCGGCTGTCCGATTACGAGCACCATCGATATATGCCCGTCGAAGGGTTCGTCCAAGGACTACAAGAGCGTCACCACGTGGGCCGATAAAACGGTGTCTGGCTCCACCAGTCCTTGTCCAGTCACAAGCACCGGGAATCTGTGCCCCTCGACAGCGCTGGCAGAGGCTGCATCATCCAGGGGCTTCAAGAGTGCCCTCACTTGCGGCACCAAATCGGATTCTTGTCCGGTTACGAGCATTGAGGAGCTGTGTGCATCGCAAGGTTTTGTGGATCCTTGCTCATCAAAGGGCATTGTGGAGCCTTGTTCATCGAAGACCGTTGCGGATCCTTGCTCATCAAAGACCATTGCGGATCCTTGCTCCTTGAAGTCTCTGGCAGATCCTTGTGCGTTGAAGTCTGTGCTAGATCTATGCTCATCGAAGGCCAATGCGGATCCTTGCTCATCGAAGGCCATTGCAGATCCTTGTTCATCGAAGGCCATTGCGGATCTTTGCTCAATGAAGTCTCTGGTAGATACTTGCGCATCGAAGGCTACGCCAGATCCTTGCTCATCCCGTGGCCATGTAGATCCCGGCCCATCGAAGCTCTGTTCCTGTGCATCGAAGGCCGTTTCGAATCCTTGCTTTCCAGATGCCAGCTCCATAAATACCATGGCACAACAAGCCACATGTGGCACCCAGATCAGCGTGCTGCCCGCGAGCAATTTGGATGCCGGCGGCTCGGATGTGACCAACCAGGAGGATATGACGACCTACACGAACTCCGGCCTCACACACGGCCTGCCATCGTCGTTTGGCTACGACGATCAGACCTCGGCCACCTCCCGCTCACGCTCCATTGTGAACAAGATCACCTGCCTGTGCTCCTCGGACCAAAAGTCGATCTACAACAATCGATTCGAGAAGGGGCCACGCGAAGAGGGCCACGTGCAGTACGGGGATGAGCTGTTGCTACAGAATAATTCCGATCATTGTAATATTTGTGAGGTATGTCCGCCGCCGCACGATCCCATGCAGTCGATTGGCAGCACTGAGCTGCGTGCAGCGCCCGCCAGGCCGCTGCAGATCAAGTGCGCCCAGTCCACGTGCACCTGCAGTGCGCTGCAGTGCAAGACCAAGGCCGCACTGAAGAGCCAATCGAAGAGCCAGTCCCACACCACCACCACCACCACCACCATCACGCAGATGAAGAGCTCCAAGCAAGTGTGCGCGGAGGAGCAGGATGTGTTTCGCGACTGCGCCTCCTTCAACTCCAACACAAAGTCCACCAAGTCGAAGAGCGGCCGCAGATTGTCCTACAAATCATCGCCAACGTGCTCCAGCCATCACACTCATAAGTCGCTGCCGATCATCACCAGCTGCTACAGCAACAAGGACCACAAGGATGGGGGGGTGGCTGAGCCGGCGGGTGTGTGCCCGTGCGGCATCTGTGGCATATCACAGAAGACCGACTCTGAGGAGCATTCCAAGGTTGAGACATCTGTCATGCAGCTGTGCATTTGCGGCCAGGACGCTAACGGGCAATCCGACGTCCCATCCATGGAGATGAAGAGCTGCTACGATCCGTCGTTGGATAAGCAGAGCGAGTCCGGTTTCTATCACTCGCCGGACACCTCGGCCTACACCGATTATACGGATCCGCCCTGCAAAGAGCTGGTGGTGGAGAGCCGCAAGGAGCGCATCATGGACATGGTGCAGCAGCTGAGCGATGCCGCCGACTGTGAATGCAACGAGGATCGTCCGGCCATGATACAGAATCTGTTTCGGGAGCTAACCCTCATGCTGCGCATGGAGGAGGAGCGCGCTGTGGCGCCGCAGGACGAGCTGAAGCCACCCAAGCCCACCTTCGAGGAGTGCTGCGCTGTGCAGCAGCAATGTGTCGCCCAGCCGCCGCACGAGCATGCCACACGAGGTGCAAAGGAACGGCGCCGCAACGAGTGCTTCGAAACGCTGGAAGATGCCGTGCGCAAGTGCTTCATGAAGCGGGAAGCCAGACAGCTGCCAGAGGTGGAAATCTACGGATTCGAGCAGGTCTCCGACTCGGATATGGACGATGCCTGCGAACTGTGGCTGCCACCAGCGGATTCAACAGAATTCAAGGATGCAGAGGGACAGGGCTGCGGCCACGACGAGGATTGCTACGAGTCGAATAGCAAACAATGTCTGCTCGAAAAGATGACAAAGCTAATGGGGGAGCCCGGCCCGGAGGAGTGTGGCATGTGTGAGGAGATATTGCAGCAAGTTGTCGAGCCCTGTGGCAGTTACGATCGCAATAAGTTCGATGGCAATTCCTATGCCAACTTGGAGTCATGCAAGAAGACGGAACCCCAATCCAACGAGACTAAGGTGATGCCTTCCAATTGCAAATTGGAGCAGGCACCAAAAGGGGTGGATATTTGTGCCTCTCAAGAGAAACCTGTGGCCCCACTAGATCATGGCAAGCCCAAAGATAACTGCTCCAAACAGGATATATGTGCAAAGATCGAGCCCTGTCCAACGAGCACGTCGGTATGTCCCCCCAGTCAAGTGCCCAGCGCCACCAACCACCCAGAGATCTGTGTGAAGGTTGAGAATTACAAGCAGACGGAGTCCTGTACCTCTGTGAATAAGGGCAAGAAGAACGACAGCAAGCAGCAGCTCTGTGGCGGAGATTTTGGCAATCTGCTGCCCGATGGAGCGCTCAGTCCAGAGGCACGTCAGCTGTGCGAGAAATTGCTGCGCCAGGCGCTGGTGGACTGCGGTGCATGTGATAAGCTGGCGCCATCTCAGTCGTGCCAGAGCTCAGAGGGAGCAGCAGCACCGAAAGGAGCAGGCCATTGCCAGTGCTGTCATTGTCGTGCGCTCAGAAGCGACAGCGAATGCAAAACAGTGTCCAAGACTCTGCGATCGGCCATGTGCGATCCGGCTTGTGAAATGGTAAGCCGCCCGCAGCCCATAGATCTTTGTCTTGATGCTTAAACTCTATTTTAGAAATACTTTATCGACTCGATGATTGTGGATTTGGAAGTCATGGACCATGTGCTGGCCAAAAACCAGGCACGGGCCAAGGTAAGCTGCAAACAAATGATTGTTGTTTTTTGTCGCATAGATTCTCTAACAATATTTTGTAGGATGTGAGAGCAAATTGTTCGGGCAATGCGCCGGGCAACAGCTACCCCGTGACCATCAGCACTGTCTCCAGCTTGGGCTGTTCCGCTCTCTACATCAGATGGGACGTGCAGGACTGTGCCGGCATTGCCGGTTATGAGGTGAGGCAATGCCCTTAATATTTAACACAAAAAACGTACCTAACTCCAGCTTTTACTCCACGCAGATTTACGTGGATGGAAATCTAAGGAATCGCCTTTACAGCTTCCGACACGACGCCGATGTGGTGGCCAATGTGGATGTAACCAAGGGACATCAGATTGTGTTGCGTGCCCAGGCCATAGGCCAGGAGTTTCCAGGCGATGATCTGCCAGTGGGCAACTGCAAAACGGTGGCGCGTAGCAGCCATCCGGAGATGGCTGTCGGCGCCAAGAGACCTTGGTCGCCCAGCATCTACTTCTATGATCCCAGCGTGGGCATCAAGCCGTCGTCAGGCGCGAGGCGAGCTAGTCAAACATAAATCAGATATCAAAATGGGTTTCGGGGAGCACCAATGGGAGAATCCCATCCCCGGCCACACGCATCAAACTTTTAGCTTGTACATATAGGATTTACTTGCATGAGAGATGTTTTGTTTTAGAGTTGTTTTGTTATGTACACCGCCCCACCCGCCCCCCACAAAAAGAATAAAGGGAGAGAGAGGAGAGAGTTGTGTAGCGCCTATTTGCGCTTAAGGAATTGAAGGATTGATTGGACTAGAATTGTATTTGTAGTGCTTTAAATAGTGCCTTAAATTATAATCGTATTTATTAAGCAGAAAGCGAGGGAGGGAGAGCATTGCATTGTACATGAATTGATAGAATTGATAATACCCTAAGATATAGGGCACCCCTTAGGGGGGCTCTTCACACGTTAGTTGACACAACACCAAAATCATTTTGAATAAAGAAAACCAAGAATCTCAATGTTAGAGATGCCAACAAATGAATCAAGTCTTTTAGAGCTGTCTGCGGATGCAGACAGAGGTGTGCTGCTGCACGATGCGTGATTGTTTAATTGAGAGCAGTATGTTGTGGAAAATGTTTTGAAGTTCCAACGTCATCGTGCCTGGAGAAAATGGAATTCGGTTTATGAACTCCTCAAAATATTAGTTTTAAAATCTCCAAATTATACAGTCAGAAAAATGTCGCAATCGATGGAGCAAAGTCCTCATCGCTTCAACGCTGGAGGCAGTGGAACAGGAGGCGATAACAGACAGGACGGTGGCCAAGACAATGATGGTAATAAGAATGAGAGCTGTGGAAAAGTTGAAGGTTGCCAATGGAGAGAAAAAAGAGAAAAGGACAAAAAGGAAAAAGAAGAAAAAAACCAAAGGAAAAAGGAAGAAAAAATCAGAGAAAAAGAAGAAAAAATCAGAGAAAAAGAAGACAAAAAAAGAAAAAAAAACCAAAGGGAATAGAAAGAAATCAGCAAAGATCGTCAGCACAAACGAATATTAAATTTGTATTAAATATTGCATACAATTTATTTACCATTATGCTTTATTTACGCGTGTATATGGCATATACTGCCTGCTGTTGAAACCGATGGCGAGGGCTAACCAAGTGACGCTGACCCTTTCGATTCCAGCACCGGTTGATCTGTGGCACTACGCCTTACCCATTCCAATCCCAGCTACACCAACTTTATCAGCCCGACTCGTCGCTATCCCGACATAATGGTGCATGGGTAAATGCTGTGCATTTCCATACTTTTAATAACTCTTTATCTGCTGTTTTAGTCCACTGGCAGCTGCGCTTAACTACTGCCCGACACCGTGCCACGTACTTCCGCTGAGCTGCCAAAAATTGCGAACGAGCGCAAGTACAAAAAATGCATAAATGCAGCTGAGGAGTCGTGCAATTTGTCAGCGAGTCTGCATGAGCGTAGTTACCCTGGAATCGGGGCATGTTATCAGCATTAACTACAAAATGCAGAAGGCCCTCCACCAGCAACAAAACAAAAGCAGGCGGCGCGAAAGCAAACAGCAAACGCCACCCAAACCCTCAGCAGCAGAACTAAAGCTACAGTTTATAACTATGCATACTATTTATCAGTATAGCCTTGCCCGCAGTCGTTAACCATACATAACTGATCCCAAATTTCGTACCAAAATTGATTCGCGATGGACACCATTATTATTGACACCTAGCTAGGCAAGGGCTAGGCCTACATTAAATCTGTGATGCTTAATGAGCTCTGTAGAAATTTATGAGCGTTTGTTTACACTGTGAAGCTTTTAGAAATTAAATCAAAATTGCAAGAATGTCCCAAACAATACATCAAAGTCACCAAAGTCAACTGTAAGTATCTCATACGCACAAACAAAGAAATTATACATAGAAATATATTCAGGTCCGTCCGGTTCTCTCACACTCTCATTACAAACAAAACATTGATCTCTCAATACAGGTTTAGCGATTCCGAATTAAACAAAGTGTTCCTTTTAGCAGTATCGCGCTATCAGAAGTACCCCTTAAGTGTATGTCTACGTACACCGATAGAAGAAAGCCCTGAAATTTTAATATTTTCACTTAGATTTTAATATTTATGCCATTGATTTTCATCCAAGATTGGTTGTATTAAAATAGAATATTTTTCACATAAATTTTGATATTAATATAGAAATATTTAAATTTAATATATTTCATATTTAAATTTAATATGTTTAATATTTAAATCTAATATGTTTCATATTTATATTTATATAATATTTATATATTATATTAAAAAAGTATTTTTAATACATTTATATTTGAATCAAAGTGAATTCTATTAAATTTTACTATGTTTGTATTTTAAAATCGCATTTTAAATTCAAATATGATTGTAGTTATTTTTACTATGTCTTTTTTTTCTATCAGTGTAGGTATGAAATATTATTAAAAGCATCAGAGAGAGAGAGAGAGAGAGAAGAGTGCTCTTTGTTATTAGCAGAGGGTCAATATGGGAAATCCGATAAGGTGTTCTGTTCGCATATAAATGCCCAATGAAGCGCACTCTCATTACAAAGAAAACATTAATCTCTCAATACAGGTTTAGCGATTCCGAATTAAACAAAGTGTTCCTTTTAGCAGTATCGCGCTATCAGAAGTACCCCTTAAGTGAATGTCTACATAGGTATGAAATAATATTAAAAGCATCAGAGAGAGAGAGAGAGAGAAGAGTGCTCTTTGTTATTAGCAGAGGGTCAATATAGGAAATCCGATAAGGTGTTCTGTTCGCTTATAAATGCCCAGTGAAGCGTGCTCTGAGTCAGACTTGTTGTAGTTTCAGAGTCGAGAACAACCGCCACGTGCAGGGCTTGTTTGAAATGGAAAGCATTGGTTTATTGAGTGGGTTAAATATATTCTATTCGGCAACAACAATGGGACAGGACCTAACGTACTCTTCCTAGGCATTGCGCTGCTGATTGTCGGGCTCTCGGCCTATCCTCAGTCTGGTAACGAGCTGGGCAACCCCTGGCTGGCAACGCCGCAGCCCCAGCCGGAAAATGGTGGCAGCACAACAACTGCCAGGCCAACGCCCACTACCCAGTCGCCGGAGTACCTGTCCTGCCTGCAATCGTGTCCGGCGACCAGCGAGTACAATCCCATCTGTGGCAGCGACAACGTGAACTACTACAATGGCGGCAAATTCGACTGCGCCGTTAGATGTGGGCAGAGTAAGTCCCAATGAGTGCTCCCAATTGCAGCTGATCAACAGCTAATGAGTTCTCATGAAACGTTTGTAGATATTCGACGGATACATTTGGGAGCTTGTCGGAATACATAGTGTAACCCCCCTAACCCCCACTGATGCCTGTCCTGATATAACGAGAATGAATGCTTCTGGGCGAAGCCCACAAAATCTCAGCTTGTAGCTGATCTAGCAGTGTCGTAAGCTAATAAAACACACAAAAAATCTCGCGCTTGTATCTCTGGCCGACCCCGACTCACAATCGCACAATCTCAGCCTGAGTCTCAGTTTATGAAGCAGTCGCAATCGCGCCGTTTGTCTGTTTAGTGTTTCGAGTATGTCGCTGTTCGGTGTGTGCCACATTTGCAGTAAGACTGATACGCAATATCTCTGTAGAAAACCCATTGACGATCGTTCTTACAGCTCTTGTGGCATTGATCTACCTGGGCGGGGTGAAGGCAGCGCCTGTGGACAATCCCAAGTCGCAGGTGGAGTACATTAATAGCCTGCCAATTGATAGCGCCAACGCATATCCGAATATTGTGCCCATCACTCGTCCGCCGCTCGTGACTCAAACTGCGCCACCGCCACCTTCCAACTCGAAGAACTTTGCATATAATCCGAAAACGCAGACTTGGACACTTGTAGCACCTGGTGATCCGCAACCGAATGACGAGACGCTTATCTGGAATAAGGCTAACGACAAATGGCTGACCAGCTCTCGCTAGGCACTCAAGCAATCTGATCGGGAGTGGTGCACACCTAGCCTAACTACGAGTATTTCTGTTCTGTTCTTTAATGGTTTCTGTATCAAAGTAAAGCTGGAAACATTTCTGTGCACAATCATCCATTCTCAGCTCTGAGTCTGGCGCATACGACGGAGCTCCTCGGCGCTTTAGTTTAGTTTAATTTGCGTGTGGCGTTCTCTGTGAACTGCTCGAATTTTGTCAGCAGATCCTCCAGCTGTGCCGGCACACCATTTGTGTGATTCTTTAGCTCCTGTAGAAGCTACTGTGGAACATTCTTGGGCGGTCTGAGGACGCCGCAACAGCTCGTTCATATGGGAGAACTGCTGTGACGGCTTTTTCTGGTTCGTATCAGCCGCGTGTCTCTGACTCTGGGGGCATTGTTGCTGGCGCTGCAGACTGCGACTGAATATGCTGTAGCTGCTTTCGAACTGACGACGCCGGTGACTCTGATTCCTGTCACGCCGCTCGGCCAGCCCCCACCAGTTTGTATATACTATATTTAGCTTTATGTTCTCGGGCTCGAAAGGCAAACTGCAGCTTGTCGCGAGAGGTGCTCAACAAGGCACTCCCACTCCGCTTGCAGAGTTGGATCAGATGGGCAGGCGCATGCCTTAATAGTCGCGACAAGAAGAGACTCGCCAGAGCTCTGCCTGTCTCGCCTGGCGGTCCAGTGAGTCACTGAGACAGCCAAGCCCACATATGTATATGCTGGGAAACAATCTACACCAGGGGTGTAGCGGAAAAGATCATTAAGTGTCGCAGCAAGGTCTTGTTCATTTCACTTCTTAGCAAATTAATTTATTGTTCTCTGCCTCTGCCTCTGCCGCTGCCGCTGCGACGCTGCCGAGGAGAATATAAAGCCGTTTGTGCATAGCCCGAAGCTTGCTTCTCAGCCGCTGCGGCAGTCGAGTTCTGCTACTGAAATCCCACGAAGTGCTTGCGCTATACTTCATACGTGTGCCGACGGCAAGCAAGTCGCGCTTCATCTCCATGCAGTTCAAAGACCACAGCAACAGATCTCTGGCACACGCCCTGTGTAGGTTCGGGAAGGGTACCGCCCCCCGATTATGAATAAAAAATGCAAGAATCTCATTGTTGGAGGCAACAACAAATGGATCGAATGTTAAAAAGCTGAAACGGATCGGGCTGCTGCAGGATGCGGGAACATTTATTGAACCTTATTCCAAATAACCGATAGTAGGCACATAAAATCCACTTAAGTTGTGGAAAATGTTTTAAAGGTTGTCATCATTAGGCTTGGAGAAAATGGAGTTCGGTTTATTAATTCGTTAGAGTTCTCTACAAAATATCAGTTTAAATAACTCTAAATTATACAGTGAGAAAATGTCGCAATCGGTGGACAAAAGTAGTCATCGCTCCATCGCTGGTGGCAGTGGGACAGGTGGCGATGGCGGAAAGGGCGGTCAAGGAGGGGGCGGCGGCGGTGGCGGCGGGCAAGGTGGAAAGGCTGGTGAACCAGGAGGCAGCAAGGAAGAAAATAAAGATGATCAGAAAGCCAAGGAAGACGACAAAAGAAATCAAGAAAAAGATGGCAAAAAGAACGAAAAGGAAAGCAATCCGAGTTGTGGAAAAGACGGAGCAGACGGTGGATCCGGCGGGGGTGGTAAAGGAGGCGATGGAGGCGGTAAAGGCGGTGGGCGTGGCGGCGATGGAGGATGCAAATGGGAAAAAAAATCCGATGAAAAAGACAAATAGAACGAAGACAAAAATAGCAATGACAAAGACACAAAGAAATCGAAAGAAATCAGCAAAAAGCGCAACAAATATTTAATTTTTATTAAATACTTCAGACAATTTATTTACCATTGCAATTTAATTATATGCTGAAAAACGGCTCTCCAAATTATCAAATATATATTTACAGCTCTGATCGTCATAGGCGGGCTCAATCAGATCGGCCTCAACGGCGGACAAAATCAGGAATTTCGTTTGGGGTGTCTGCGGAAAATAATCCAAAATAAATAGATAAAAGAAAGAATAGAGTATGGAAAGTGGTTGATGGGACTTACATCCTTGAGATCGTTATGCTTCCACAGTTCGATGCTCTCCAGATAGGTGCGCATAAGGATGCGCCACTGCCAATAGTTTTTACAGCCGTGTAGTTTCGGTATGGCCCTGTAATCCAGTTCAATGTGGCCCATTTTGTTACGCTTTGCTAAACGCACTGATTAGAAATGGAACATTGGTCAACGTTGTGGCTGATACGAAAGCTCTGAAAGAGAGAGGAAAACTGGAAAAATATGCAGCGAGAGAGCGAGCTTTTGCTATCTGCATTAAACAGCTCTGGCGGGGTTTTACTTTTTAGATTTCAGTAAACAGCTCTGTGGGGCGGGGGTTTAGTGTTAAGATTGAACGGCATGTGTCATGTAGCCAAGTTCGAGCGCTAAATTGTTAACCATATGCTGTGTGGCAGTGGCTGCAGGGGCAGGCAGCTGCCGGTTGCAGGGGCGTCCAAGCGCAGCAAGTGTCAACACCAAAATCGACATCAAATTGTTACCAATTAAACCATTAAGTTATTACAATCAAATTAAATGCCACACAAAATATAGAGCAGCAACAGCAACAAATACGCGTATGTCACGCATAACAATGGGAACTTAGAGCTGAATGAAATTATCGAGCTGTCCACACGGCGATTTCAAAAGTTAATTCATTTAATATATTTCACACAAATACGAGTACATATTTATACACATGCGAGTAGTTCTCAATGAAGTTCTCCTAAGCGTAGCTGCTGGCTATGAATAGGTAATTTTTTTAGCTTGACTTCTCACTGGGTTTTATGTGCCAGCGGGCGGGGCATATCGACTTGCACATGAGCTTTGTGTTTGCTGAGTATTTTACTCAGTTTTTTCCCCTTGTGGTTACTGCAACTCTTAACTGATAATTATGGCTGAAAATTCTATTGTAAACATTATTCTAGAGTAATTTTATATTCGTTTGTTTTTTTGTTGTTGCCATCCGCCAACAATTTTCACCCTAATTTGCTTTTTATGATTGCTTTTTGTGGCTCGGCTGGAGTTTGTGGCAGTTTGTGGCAGTTTGGTTGGAAAATCCCTGAGCTGAGGAGGCCATTTGTCAGGCAATTTACTGCTGGGGGCAGAACAGACCAACCACAGCCCGCCTGAAACCCCCAAGCCCTATATAGTTAGGCGCTGTATTGGCGACTCGATTTAGTTGTCTTTGGTCAGGGCTATGACTAAGTTTAGTTGCCTGTTGCTGCTGCCACTGCTGCTGCAGTTGCTCCACATCGAAAGCGGTCATGGCTGGAGTTTTGGGCCAGTGCAGGAGGCAGAGAATGCGCCACAGCCCAGCGATGCGGCCAGTTCGGCGAATCATACGAGTAAGTTGCGATGCGACTCCCCAAGGACAACGCTCTCGATGTGCCTCTGCTCTCTTTAGTACTCACCAGACAGCTGATTGTGGGCACGCTGGTGCCGCCACAATTTCCCGGACCCTGGCCAAGTCCCGCCATTGTGGCACCAGGAGGAGCCAGCTACTGCCAGTGTGTGCCACCCGGTTCCTGTGCGAATCCACTGCCCACCGTGCCGAGCGATGGCAGCGGACAGCTGGACATTCGTATCGTCAATACGGGAGCTTATGTGAGTGAGTACTGAAGGGATAAATCCTTCTCTAATCTCCAGTATCCTCTTCGTACAGCCATCGATCCCGAGCACCAGTGCTACCCTGACCTGCAGCTATGGCCAGGTGGCCTGCTGCCAGGCGGGTAGCTATCAGTGTGGTCGCCGCTTCCCGCCGCCACTAGGCTCCGCCACGGCAGGCGCGGGACAGGCGAACTTCGGGGCATACCCTTGGCAGGCGGCGTTGCTGACCACCGCAGATGTATATCTGGGAGGGGGAGCACTGATCACCGCACAGCATGTGCTGACGGCTGCCCACAAGGTCTACAATTTAGCGTGAGTTGAAAGGAATTCCCATTCAGGGATCCTCCCTCATTCCGGTTCAGTTTGACTTCGTTTAAGGTGCGCCTGGGGGAGTGGGATGCGAGCAGCACCAGTGAACCGATTCCCGCCCAGGATGTGTACGTGTCCAATGTGTATGTGAATCCCTCGTTCAATCCCAACAATCTGCAGAACGATGTGGCCATACTGAAGCTCGTCCAGGCCGTATCCCTCACCAGCAAGTCCACCGTGGGCACCATCTGCCTGCCAACCACCAGTTTTGTGGGCCAACGCTGCTGGGTGGCCGGCTGGGGCAAGAATGACTTTGGTGCGACGGGTGCCTACCAGGCCATCGAGCGGCAGGTGGATGTCCCACTGATACCCAATGCCAACTGTCAGGCAGCGCTGCAGGCCACACGATTGGGTGCCTCCTTTGCCCTCAGTCCCACATCCTTCATTTGCGCTGGCGGCGAAGCTGGCAAGGATGCCTGCACCGGTGATGGTGGCTCTCCGCTTGTGTGCACCAGCAACGGGCTGTGGTATGTCGTCGGATTGGTGGCCTGGGGCATTGGTTGCGCACAGGCTGGGGTGCCCGGTGTCTATGTGAATGTGGGCACCTATCTACCGTGGATACAAACGACACTGACCCTCTAGACCCCATCCTCTACGCTTAAGTTGTTAAACATTATATTAAAAATATACTCGAAAGATCAGTAAATTGAAGCATCAATAGCGCAATCCTAGCAGCTCATAGAGCGGCACTTCAACCACCGACTCACTGGCACTCGACTCCTCAAAGTCACCGCTCTGGAGCAGATAGTCGGGACGCTCCAGCGACGGATTGGCCAGATAGAAGTCAATGAGTGCCGTGGTGCTGCGCAGATGGGTGATGCCCTTGAAGATCTTCTCGCGTGTCAACAGCTCCTCCGGATAAACGGTCTTGATGGCCGTGTCATTGGATCGTTTCACCCACGGCCGTTCCTTGAGCGGCACTGTGCGCCCAAAGGCGCTGATGATGGGCACTTTGTTTACGCGTGAGGCCTGATCGTTGATGTGTTTCTCATACTTCAGCTCAATGGCCATCTGGTTAGAAATGCAATGAAGAGCATTAGAAAGAGATATTCCAAGAAGAAACCTCTCCTCTCCAGATACCTACATGAGGTTTATTCCACTTGTCGGCCACAGTCTGGGCAATGGCATTCACCTCCTTGGGATCGGTTTTCACGGAGGCCAACAGCGTGCGATCTCCCTTGATGGAGAACAGATTCTTGACCTTCTCGGGCGTTAGGTTGCTCTCCATGGTGCCAAAGGAGTTCAACCATTCCACAAAACGTTCTGCAGACTATGAGAGCGGGAATTATACAATAATTAGATGGAGTTTCGAGCATTTAAGCTTCCAAATGCTACTTGCCGCATCCATCAGATCCTCCGCCTGCTCGTCAAGAGTGTAGAAGGAGTGACTCTGGCCGGGATGCTCCACGCGAGACTGCCAGCAGACACGCTTGTCGCTGGGAGTACACAGGAATTTGGCGTACCAGCTGGACTTGTCCACAGTGCGATAGCTGTGGCCCACGGGCTCGTCCAGCCGCAGATCAAACTTCTCGAACTCATGATCCATGCGCACAATATCCGAGTGTTCGCTCTCATTGAACTGCTCTTCGACCACTTTGCGTTTCAGGTTGATGAGCTGTCCACAAAAAAAACAAAGGATTATATTAATAGAAGAAACTTCTCAAGGAGGATCAAGGCTCTTACAACGGGAACCTCCTCTTCCTCGCTGTCTGGGGTGCTGGCACTCATATAGTCCTCGGGCCGCTCCTCGCGCATATCATCCCGTATGTAGATATCATCATCTGACTTGGAGAAGTCATAATCCTGAATGCGCCTCACCCTTTCGCGCAGTCGTGGCGGCAACACCAGCGAGTAATCCACCACTGGAATACGCGGACGGGTGCGGCATGACGCAGCCAGCACCACCTCATCGATCACCTCGTTCCAGTAGGCCTTACCCTCGAGGCCCTTGCGCTCTTTGAGCTTGGAAAAGTCGCTCATGCCACTGCTGGTCGAGTGCTCCTTCTGCAGCACCATCGGCTTCACCTCTGTGGGCTTCTGGTAAGCGACCAGAGCCTGAGTGACGGACTCCATGCGCGCGGAGCGCAACATGCGATTAATTATGGGCCGATTGGCTCGCGCCACAATGGTGCGGCGCACCGTCGACGCATAAGTGTGCTGCTTAGTCAATGACATTGCGAGGCGGTTGTCTGTCCTCTGGCTCTCGAATTGGTATAAACTATAGCGAAAATATCACTAAATTTATGTTTAAATTTGTTTGTTCGATACGAGTTTTCGAATTAAATTCTAGCTATGACAACGCCAAAGTTGGTTGGGGAGTGTAGCTATAACAAAATGGGGGAAAATAGGAGTCAAAGTAGTAACAGAAATCTACATGGTATCTACATGTTCCACATACAACTTACGTGTTTTGTACATGCTTGCTACATTTCCACATGAAATATACATAATTTATACATGCTTTCTACGTGAATCTACTTATTATTTACATAATTGCGCATACGACTCGTTGCTGCTGCAGAATGCCGAAATATTTTTAAATTATAGCACCTAAAAAAGGAAAATGCTTTTGGGGCTCTAATTTTGCTAAAAAAAAACCTTTCTGGATTCATGCTACCTTTCTAGGGTTAAGCTGTAAGCTGAAGTCATTAGAGAAATAATTGCTCTTACGACCCATTGGTGCTCTGCCAGCCAGAGTGGATTATTCAACAGCAGCCGAACAAAAACAAAACAAAGGTACATTCTTGCACAGATACGACCTCGCACAGATGCACACACATACATATGTATGTACAGCAAGGGTAAGTTAAATTTATACGCACAGGCAACAACAGGTTGCCACGAGCAGCAGCAGCAGCAACAACAGCAACAACAGCAGCAGCAGCAAGACATGTGTTTGCCTTCAATGCACAAACACAAACACACAGACAAATACACAGACAGGCAGACAGACAAGCACAAACAGGACACACAAAGGCAGGAAGGCTGGCGCAATAGAGGGAGACCGACAGACAGACACCTTTTGGCCATTTGCTGTTCGCTTAACCGTTGCGTCCCGCCAATAAACAACAGGAGAGAAAGGCGAACGTCAGACAGCGAAGCATTTTATACTCTTAGAGAACGCCGAGTTCCAGGATATTCATTGATAGAATATACACTGATAATATTTCAATCAAATCAACGATAGCCAATGCAGAATCTCAAGAAACTTAACCTTCTACTACTTAAAGGCCTTTTCTGCATTACAAAATATTTATCGAAATCAAAGTACCCAAGGGTACTGCAAGGGTATAGATGTAAGACATCGAGCCACTCGACGACCCCGCTCATTTGCAATCCGTTTCCCTAGAGGACTGCCACCCCCTTATTCACCGTTTGATGGCGTGAAATCTGTATACAAATTTAATGATTCTTGGGCCAATTGTGGAAAATTTAATAAAAACCAAAATAAATAAAATGTTTGGTGTATATATTTGATCATTTTTGGTGGGGGATGAAGGCAAACGTTACCCCGTTATCCCCACCCCTTATCGCCACCCGCTAATGCCAAACGGAAGCCGGAAATGTGTCTTGTCGCACTGGCCCCATACAAAAAAAAAAAATGCAAGCGGCAAATGGCAGGAAGCCAAAAAGAGGCTTTTGGGTGGGAGGGCGAAAGCGGGTAAGTCACTCAAAAGTGGGCACCCAAAAACTCACTCAAGTCCCCAGTCCGAGTCCGAGTCCTCTAGTGCCGAGGCAGCACCCGAGTGTGCCGAGCGAGTGTGTCCTTAGTGGAGTTTGGTTTTAGTTCGGTTTCAGTTTCAGTCCGTCCTCGGCTTTCGTGTGCAACAGACGTGCTTGCGGCGCTTGGCAACCAGAGAATTCTCAATAAAGTAATAACCAACAACAAGCGCTGGTGGTAGCAACAAAACGAACGACGACACACGAAACAGGACAGACACTGAGTTGTCCTCCCAAATGCTAGATAGTGTTAGTGTTGTTACCGCTTGCTATTAGCCAAGTCAAAAGCCAAAGGCCCCATTGCCAATTGCAATATCGACTGAACTGCCTTCCGGGGTAACAGTTACAGTTACAGTTACAGCTGCAGCCGTTGTGCCAAAGTGAACTTCACGGGGGCCAGTGTTGTGTAATATCTGTGTGCAACCATAGTGGATTATTCGATCAGCAGAGTTGCTTTGATTCGTGGCTATCGGTCTAGTGTTTGTGCGTGTCTATGTGTGACATATATTTTTGTGACTATTGTGTGTACTTTGGGACCTAATACATCGCCTAATGGCCTTGGTGTCATCGCCGTCGCCGTCGCCGTGTCTGACTGCCGCCACGCCTAGCGGCTTGAATGCCTTCTTCACATTAAATTGTATTTCTTTTTGTTAAATTCTAGGAAATGCGAGCAAGAAATCTAAATTAAAAAAAATAGAAAATAGAAAAATTCAATGAACAGCAAAGCAACAAAAAACAAGCAACCCCTAAGTATTAAGTGCTAGAAACAAGCATAATAAACCCAAAAGAATTGCTAGCATACTTTTTGGGGTTTACGTCATGTTTGTCTACATTTAGCGGAGCAGCAAGGAAAGGGGAGAAAGCGACAGAGTGAGAGAGAGAGAGAGGCAAAGAGAAAGTGAAGAGAGTGGAGGGAGCGAGAAGGAGAAGTTTGTTGTTGCCACACACCATGTCCCATTGTGCGCCTGTGTCTCTGTCTACGTCTACGTCTCCGTCACCGTCTCTGTATTTGTGTCCAAGAAGCAATCCGCTGTGCATGTGCCCCAATCATACCAATAATCGTAACCAAATATTAACATCAATACCGTTGCAGCATCGTGCATTGTGCATTGCATTTGTTTAGCTAATTGGCTGAAGGTGTTTTGTGCCGTGTTTTACGTAAGTGTTGTTGAGCCTTCAGTCTATAATCTATTTATAATCCCCCCCAAACTAATTTGATATATAAATATATGATATATATATGTATGTATGTAAGTGCTTGCATTGTCTGTGTGCTGCCTAATACTCCTACTCCTATACTATACATAAAGAAACACTCCATTTAGGCATATATATATTTACTCGCATACTTTCATTCATTTCACATTCATTTGAACCCCATATTCACAATCCAATACAAATTTATGACACCTTCAGCTTCAATATGGCATGGAATGCCATTTAATTTGTATGCTTTTCCTTTAGCCAGCAACCAACCCGTTCAACCATTTATGTCTATAAATATTTTAGCAATTTCCGCACACATTTATGCCGATCTACCATTTTGATTTAACATTCTGCCGCTTCCTGTTAATCCTCTTGTCCAATCTTGTCGTCCTGCCAATGGAAATCACATTAGCGAGGACTCAGCTCTCGAGGACTCTATAAATAAATGAGAGTTATACGAGTTGTATGAGAGCCAGTCTGACAGACAGACCACTGGGCCCACTGACGATGACATTTTCATGTGCTAGGGGGGATTACTCATACGACGCGTTGTCGCATTATATGAAAATATAATTTGCTTTTTGTTATGGCATGTTGTCGTCGTTCCGCTCTGTTTTCTCATCTTCTGTAGGACATGGACATGCCCAGCGTGCGTGTGGCCAAGAGATATGAGTTCGTAGCCGTAGCCCCCACTGTCTGTTCCCTCTATTGCTGTGTCATAAGGACCGTAATCAGCTAAGCAAACGCGTCAGATGCATGCACATCCAGACTGGAACAACGGCAGACTCTTAATAGAACAAGGACAGAAGTGGAAAGAACGAAACTGAAGAGAGAAATACCCTTAAAAAAACTATTACTAACCTTGAGACTTGAGGTAGAATATCCTACTGTATCCTTACTGTTTTAAGTCTGTAAAATTAAAGAAATCTACAGATTTAATTGCCTTTCATTGGTGATGAAATAGCTGCAACTGAGTGCCAGTCTATAAAACTATCCAAAGAGTATTTCAAAGACCGAATGACGAGAGGTAAAAGCTGTAGAAGGGGTTTCTGCCTGCTCGCTACGCTGACAAGCGCATTAATTTGCATAGTTCATGCCACGGTTCCTAAGCTACGCTGACACATGAGCTGCATTTGAGTGAAAAGAGGGCGGAGAGCCATTCATTAAAGAGTAGATATTTACGGGGAGGAAACACATTTTCCAGCTAAACAACCATTTAATGTTGGAACACACATCAACTTTTCCGTAAGCCTTTTGCTTGTCAGATTTATGTTCCCTCTTGTAAATGATAACTTTGATTCGGAATCTGAACATTTTCCCATTTGTGTGTAGAGGCGACATCCGACATCCGTTGATGCCGGCGGCAACATACACAGCCATGGAACATGGAGCATGGAGCATGGAGCATGACATTCCAAACAGGTGCAATGACTACAATGCAATTCACTCGCAAAAGGCAGGCACGGGAATTGGGTATATATCTAAGGGAACAAGGAGCAATGTCAATCTGGCATCATCCCACATCTGCTCTGCTCTTCCGGCAGCTACTCGTAGTACTGCCATTTATTCCTGGCGGGGCTAAAAGTTTTTTATTTGTGAAAAGAGAAAAAGCAGGTAGGTGCAAGGAAGATGTGGTTTTGGGCTAAGAAATACCTGGGAGCCTGGCTTGATCTGTAGAATTTTATTCCGTGATAAGTGGAAAATGTTGTAGCAGGAATTTTAAAGGGAGAAAATATCTCAAGAGCTTGCATACAATGAGAGAAACCCGATATCTGATTGCTGTAGCTCTGGTGGGGTCTTTGATTCGTGACTGTCGACGCTGAGGGAGAAAATAAACTAATCGTGGTGTGGGTATCGTTCCTGCTGCCCCTGTAGCACAGCTACACGAACACATCACATCCTCTGTACGCCTCTACAATTACGGGGTATAAAAATCGAACCGTTTGACATGTGACCAACATGTCAGAAGATAGGAGGAGACAGTAGGAGACCGAAGGAGACAGAAGAGGACTTTTGCTGTCTATTTGTACGAATGGGAGCAGGCGAGTTTGTGTGGATGACTTGAATGCATGCCAAACAGGTAGGAAGAGTCATCTTAGACATCTAGCCATCGCCTTCGCCATTGCCAAGAATTTTTCAAATGCTTTCCTCTGCATCAAGCGCTGGTGCATTGTGTGAGTCAGGGATTCTAAAGGAAATCTTACACGACAGTACTCAATGTATATATATATATATAAATATATATGTATGTATAAGAAGCATATATAGAAATGGAGCTGTGGGGCATGCATTGTGGCGCCACCATAGCATCATTCGTTGACGGTCTTTGCCTCCTTTATGGCCATTGTCTGGCTGAAACTTGCCTGGCCTTGTGCTTCATTTTGTTCGCACAATATCTTTTGGTTAAC